AGGCAACCACCAGGGGTGGGGGATTGGATAATTTCCTTTGACAACGCATAATGTGACAGAGTTTCCGGTGTGCTTTGAGGATAACTATGTACATACCTTTGTACAGGCGGTCAATAATGAGAAGGATTCGATGCCTGCGAAGTCTTTGGAGTGTAAACATCAGCCTGCGATTGTGCGGGGTAGAAGCTGAGTCTATCGACGCACGCGTTCCATGTTGCTATCTTCTGCAGCTCTGAAATTTCGTATGCACGAAGAATGATTGCGCAGAGAACAAAGAGCCTCTTCCGAGGGAGTGGGGAAAAGATACCCTGGCGCGATATCCAGGCAGGATTGAGGATTGGCATGGTTAGGGGCTGGACTAGCCACCATCTTGTGAATGAAATGTGATTCGATCCATCCATGATTCCGAGATGGTCTGGGATGACCTGGCGCTGCAGGCGCAAAACAAGGGCATGGGTGACTCTGACCGTCTGCTTGTCATCAAGCAGAATCCTTCAATGCATCATTTCTCGTCGAGTCAATACCCATTGTAGACAAAGTACAAAGGTAGCAAGAAGACGAAGTCGTTGAAGATGACCGCCAGACCCAGATACTGCAAGGTTGGGATGCGGATTGACACGAATTGGATTTGGCCAAGACTGATCGAGCTGTTCGAAATAAGGTCCAGTCTAGTGCAGCGTCGGTCTTGGAGGGCGGTCAGCAGATTGATGAGACCGCAGAGTGATTGATTGATCCGATCGAGGGAATCAATCCGAGGACCCGAAGAGAAACAGAGACCGCCCCCACCGGCGGGCTGATTCTCCTGCAGTGTACGAATTAGTGTATGAGGATGCAAGTAGCGTGGTGTCGTGTATTAAACGACCACTAATCGGGCATTGGGGTCTTCTGTAATGGGAAGTCTTGGCGCCGTGTTACTGGTTCTCGTAGCCTAGCCCGGTAACTAGTTCGACCGTTCTAGCCTTAATCATTCGACGGGGCACCATCCCGCCTCCCGTGCCCACATCCCACCACTCGTCACTTCCCTGAAGCGCTCCCTTGCCCCGTCCACCGCCACTGCCCCATTTGCTCCAAATTTTGGTCCAAAGTAAACAACGGCTGGAGCAGGGGGAAGGTACAAGTCCACTGGCTGGTCAGCAAACGACGAGATTTTCTTCATCATTCCTCTCTCTCCCTTTTTTCCTCATTCTCCATCCTTCACAAGTTCACATCGATTCCTATACCCACTCTCCGTTGATTGATGGTTTTAGCAATCAATATCGACTACCAAGTTTTGAGCAAGCAGAGCCTTTGTCCAGCAAGATTTCCTCCTGACAGGGCGGCCGTTAGTTAACCTTGCGACACAACACAACAGCCAGCGAACCTCCATACCGAGCAATATTTCAACCTCGACCGTTTCTCTCTCGTATACTCCTGTGCGCTGTTCACTTCTCACTCGTGTGGCTACTTTTCCCTGGCGGACTTCAACCAGTTTCTTTCTTTCGCATTGGTTCTGGAGCCCGGCGTTTGTTCATTCCTGTTTGTGAGTAACAGCCCCGAATATCACCATGTCCCTGACTCGAACCAGGCACCGAAAGGCCCACTACCGAGCATCAACGATCTCGAAGCGACCTGGGCAGATATGCTAACTGTGCGACGATAACCCCAGTTCCCAGCGATCTTGGCAATGGACGCCACGACATCCCAATAAATTGTCTCCCCTTCAATTACGTATATTGGAAGTCAAATCGAAACTCTTCGAAGATAGAATTGTCGACCTTCCGCGATGAGCCAGCCTCCTCCGCCTCCGCCTCATGGCGAGGTGCCAAAATCCTCAGGCTTACCACCTGGCAAGTATGACATCTTCGTCATACCCCAGCACTCCGCCGGCTCAGGGTTCCTGTACCTGCCGTCGTTGCAGCCAAATGTCAACAGCTTCGCGGCCGGTTTCGCCTGCGCGCTAATATTGGTGACTATGGGCCAAGCTATGGCACCAGCCTTCCAGACTTGGTGGAGCGGGTTCCAAGGGATGGGCAACATGGGAATGACAATGTTGACGATCGCTATTGGCGTTGGAGCGTGGTCTCTGGGAAGGATGCAGCATGAAAGGCCAGCCCCACGGCCGGAGCCTATGGGTTCTAGCTACATGGGCGGCGGGCCCTCAGGCGGTTTCCACGGTCCTGCCCCCGGTGCAGGGCCAGCTCCGAACTCGGCTCCTCCACCTCCACCCCCGCCACCTCCGCCGCCACCTCCACCGCATAGCGAGCCGCCTCCCGATCCTCGTCCTCCACCGGGTCCAGACCGCTCCAAGCCATCTTGGCAGCGACCACCACAGCCCGGAACATCCAGGGCCGAGACACCGAAAGGGTCGTGGGAGAAGGCTCGGGAAGAAACGCGACGACGAGAGGAAGAACGGAAAGCAAAAGAGGAAGAACAACGACGCAAGGAGGAAGCCGCTCGGAAATTGCGGGAGCAACGGGAAAGGGAGGCTAGGGAACGCGAGCAACGAGAGCGCGAGGCGCGTGAGCGAAGGGAAAGGCTCGAAGCCGAACGCCGAGAGAGAATGGAAGCGGAAAGGCGCGAAAAGGAACTTCGAGAGAAGCTCGAACAGGAGCGACTCGAAAAGGAGAAACTTCAAAGGGAAAAAGAGGAACGTGACAGGATAGACAGGGTGGAGCGAGAAAAGCTGGAGAAGCTTGAGCGAGACAGGCTGGCAAGATTGGAGAGGGAAAGGCTGCAGCGAGAGGCACAGGAAAAGGAGAGACTCCAAAGGGAAGCACGGGAGAAGGAAAGGCTCCAAAGAGAGGCACGTGAAAGGGAAAAGTTCCTGAGGGAAGCACGAGAGAGGGAGGCTAGGGAGAAAGAGGCTAGGGAGAGGGAAGCCAGAGAGAAGGAGGCTAGAGAAAGGGAAGCAAGAGAGAGGGAAGCCAGGGAAAGGGAAGCGAGAGCAAAACAGCTCGAGGAAATGCGGAAGAGGGAAGAAGAGGAGGCCAAGGCCTCCAGAAAGGCAAGTACCTACGCCTACTCTGGCGTGGGGGAGAGGACCAATCCGTGGCCGAACGGGAAGCCCAAGCCCGCTCCTGCCGCGCCCACTCCACCTCCTTCAACGCCATCGCATTCAAACCATCCCAGTTCGAATCCAAATCCAAATCCAAATCCACCTCCACCTCCACCTCCACATCCAAGTCCAAAACCAAATCCAACTCCAACTCCAAATCCAAAACCAGCACCATCCACCGTCTTTACCAGTCCTAACAGCGAGAAGCGGCCGCCAGCACCGTCCGTCAACACATTCACAGGCACCGATAACGACAGCGCCTATTCGTTCCGACCCTACGATAAGCCGAAGCAGCCCAGAAGGAAGAACTCTATGTCAGAATTCTCCGAAACGTCATGGGCTCAATCACATACAACCGCAAAAACCACGCCTCCGCCATCCATGCGTGGACCGTATACGACCAAAGATCCCGACAAGATCGTTATTAAGGCTGTCTACCTCTTCATGAATCAGTTCGCCAAGACGCCGGCAAGCCAGCTCGTGTCTGGCGTCGGTTCCGTCACAGACGGACTGATCCTGAGGATAACGACAGAAGGTCTCTTTATCGACGACGACGTCAGGGGCGTACCGCAACGCGAATGGGATGTGAAGGCCTGGACTTTGAAGCAGGCCGAGGTATGGTGCCCCCCGCACTGTTTGACTCCATCTCCCCAAACCCCCAGTGGTGCGAATCCAAACCACAAGATGACTGCTCAGCGTTTGCGAGACCGGGGCGTCCCCAAGATCCTCACCGGCGATGACGCAGACGGCTATCTCACCGAGATGCTGCGTGCTTGCAAGGATTGCTGTCGCCTCGGTCTCTGTGAGACAACTTTCAAAGGTACTAACATCCCGTCTCCATCGGGTCAGCATGGAGAGTGGAAATCCAAGGGTCTCCACCTTCTCCGAGCCACGATCCGCGATCAAGAAGGAAAGAGATATCTCTTCGTACTCGGCGAAGAAGAAAGCTGGAAGGTGGCAGTGGGCTTGCAACGGCTACGCCGCGGCACGCAAGCCAGGGCGCTTGGAGTCTGCGGGTTGAGCAGCATGGAAGCGAGAGGCTCGCTGGAAATGTTGGGCTGGATTTGACTATATGGCAGTTCAAAATATGGTTCGAGATGTTCCTCCACACAAGAACAACGGCGGTCTTGCCATCAGCAGAGGCCACCATTGATTAAACTTTTCCCTTCCCCACCGCCTGCTACCCAACGGCGGCGTATTCATTTCGGTACATCTTGTTTGACAGCGTCATTGCCCGCTATCTTCTCCACTCCTCTTACGGGTTATTAAGATTGAAACGTTTTGGGGACCCCGGATCACCGCGATCAGTGCATGAGAAACGGGGTCCTGAACCAGCTCGACAACACCCGCCTCCCCGCCCTTCCCCATCGAGAAGACAACTTCTCTCCCGCTATGCATATAAGCCAGCACTCTGAAACCGCCACCCTTGTTTTTTTTTCGATTCTTTGATATCCGGCATTGTTCAGCGACGCGTTTGCAATTTGGAAGCCCGAATACAGGAGAATCAGTCACCTGTTTTGTTTCACCTCATCCATTTTCATGAGGTCTCGAATGTTGGCATGGCCTTGGAAGTGCATGCTTTTTAACGACTGGTATCCGAGTTTTTGTTTGTTTGTTTAGAAAAGGTGGACGAGGAGGAAGATACCTTAGACTGAACATAAAAAACCGGAGGGTTTTGAGATGTGTGATGAATACAACATGAAAGAGTTTAATGCCCCCTTTGAGATTTGTTTTAATTGCTTCGCATCCGGTGACCGTCAAAACGGAATGATGGTAATTCTTTGCCTGTAGTCAACTGCCCTGCTGTAGACGTGATTGTTCTAATTTCTGATTTGATGTTGGTATTTAACAGCGCCCTCAGCCAGCATCTTCGCAAGACTCATCATCTATATTCTTTACATTCATGATCCTCTCTTCACAGCTCTTCCCACTCGCTTTCACTTTTTACAAATCCCCTGCCGAGGAATCATTCCCTTCCGAGTGTTCTCCCTGTTCCGAATCCTCTCCAGCTTCTGATTTCATTCTCGAGAGCTTCTTCCTCTTCTTCTTCTTCTTCTTGGATACCCTTCTTCTTGCTCATCCTCTCTTTCAGCCCCAGCCCACCGCCAATCGTCATCATCATCGTTCCCACTCCCAGTCTCTTTCATTTCTCCATCATCACTCACATCACTACTAACCTCCCTCACCTGCACAGACATCGACTCATCGGCCTCAACCGCTTCCCTCAAGCATGTAAACGGATCACTCGCATTCGCTCCACGCCTCCACTCCGCAGGCCCGCTCAAACCCGACCAATAAACTCCCAAATGAGGCTCAAATACAATGGTTTGAATCCCCAGAAGCGCGTTATATCCCTTGACAAGCCCGACTAAGTGACCGTACATCGTCTTCCTGTACTCGGGGAGTTCGGGACCTTCAAGACGCCTCTGGAGACTCCAATCCTCAACGAGTCTGAGAAACCTCAGGTTGGGAGGGAGTTTGACGCTGAGGGAGATGCGGAGAACCTGTGTAATGGGCCCGTAGATGGCCGAGGTGTCCGTCTCTAGGTGGGCGAGACACTGCAGCTCCGAGAGACCGATCAAATGCAATGCGGGTGAGCCGTAGCAGGTCGGGACCGGCTGCAGGGCCTCTGCGGAGATGAAATAGTGCAGGCGTTTCAGGCGCTCGGCACGGTTCTTCAGGAAGGAGGCGAGGGTCTCGCGGTGCTTCCAAGCGGCAGTCATGTCGACGCGGAGGCACCCGCCATCCCGACAGATAGCAAGCCTAGCCATTCGCGCCGCAGTGTGGACGCCGCGATCTAAGCGGATGTCCTGAAGGTTGGGCAGATAATGAGGGACGTTGAGGGGTCGGAAGTCCCACATCATATCGGTACGGGTGAGGTCTATGCGCTTGATACTAGGGTCTCTTTTCAGGGTGAAGAAGGCATCGAGTGAACACCAAGCGCCGCCCAGTGGCGCACCTGGGCGGAGCTTGAGAGCCTTAATGGGAGGCAAGAGGGGGCAGTGTTCGGGGTCCTCCGCAGCCGTGTCAAATATATTGTTAGCCACCGCGAAGATCCTGTCCGGAGCAAAACTCCACCTGTGATAGTGTGTGATTGGGACGTCGACGGTTAGGGTCCTCAGGCGGGGAGAAAGAAGCATAATAGCAGCGAGTAAGGCTTCCAGGAAGACCCAGCTGAGCTCGTATGGCATAAAAGCCTTACCAATCTGGCGTAGGGGAGTCCCGTACGCCCAAAACAAGTAATTCGTGACGTGCGCGACGCGGCAGAATTCTAGGACCGAGGATCCTTCGCGGCCCGGGTAGGGTATGAACCGGTGTCTAGAGATGACGATGCTGGGGACTCTGAGGACGTCTTCCGGTTCGGGGATCTGGGTGATGCGGACTTCTCGAACGTGGAATCGCCGCGCTGGGTGCATGAGCATCTCTTGGAGCGTGTTGAGGACGGAAGCGGGTGTTCCAAGGTCGAGAACCCTCCAGAGCTGTCGATCTGCCAGTCTGTAGAGGATGTGGCAGGTGATTTTGAGACTCAGAAGATCTGAACGGGAATCAACTTGGCTCACAATGGCTGTGAGGAGTTCCGCAGGGAGGCTGAGCAGGTGAGAAGCCATGCTGCGCTTGGGACTACGTGTCCTTAATGGCAAGCTTATTCCTAAAGATTTGGATGATGGAGTGGGAGTCATGCTGTTCGCTGGGGTTTTTCTCTTCTCACGATGGGATCTTCGCCAGGAGGAGGACATGGAGATGGATGGAGATGATGGGATCCACGGGAACAGTTATTCTTATAGATGCTAAATCGCTGGAGTATGAGGAACCCCTACTTTCCAAGAAGCATCACCTCCCTCACCCTCAAGGTCTGGCTACCACTCATCAGCTTGTGGGTTTAGGTTATCCATCTTGAAATTTGATACTCAGGCGTTTCCATTTGGGCACGTCGCGTGGTCCAGACACTTCTGCAGGAGCTTTAAAAGCATGGTAGGCATGGAAATTGCAGAAGTAGTGATCAATTCCTTGCATTAAAGATAGGTATAGTGATGGCCATCATCAATCCCATGTGACTTTCGTTTCATTACCCTAGGGTCCAAAAATGTGCTTCTAGCGTCGTCGAGGATCGAGGCCAACGAGGCGCTCTCTAGAAATGGATCAGTATTCTCCGTCTCAGCATGTGAAAGCAGTCTGATCAGGGTAACTTACGTCTCGCCGTTGTCGAAAATGCAACTGAGTTTACTTTCCGCCCTTTCTATCATTGCTCTCATTGCTCGCCTGGTCATCTCCAGCAGTGTTTCCCTCCCGCTCGGGCGCAGCAGCAGCGTCCTGTTCAGCGTTCCAGTTCTGGTTGCCTCGTTGAGGGTCCTGCGCTCCACCGGTAGCAACTCGGGCCTGGTCGAATTGAAGCGTGGCGGCGGCGGACTTCTGGGCCTCGGGGGAGACGGCGTTGCTCTTTGAGATGGTTTTGTGTACGTAGGATGGCACGAAGCCACCGGTTCGTTGATTGGGAACCATTTTTATTGGATGGATGGTATTAATTTGGATGGTAATCGTAGCTTGTTTAATCGTAGCTTGTTGGATGGATGGTGGTCTCACGATAAGGGCGACGCGGTTTTGATGGATGCTGTGAGAGTAGAAGAGGAAGAGTTGAATCAGATGTTGTAAAGTAGGAGTTGATATCCCAGAACAAAGACTTTAGGGTGTCAAAAAATACAATGGAATCAGTGAACAGTGAATAAGGGAAGTAATAGAGTGAGTCTACATTTTGAGGGAAGGTGGGAAGCCAGGACCTGCTTGATATTGGTGTCGGACTAAGAGAGGGTAGCTCTTTCTAAGGGAACTAGAGTTCTAGAACAATGAAATTAAAAAGATACAATTACAACAATTCAGCAACTTCAATTCATCATGCCACAATTGGAGGCCAAGGCCGTTTGCTAGAAATATCTCACCATCAACTTCCTTTGAGAAGTGAGCCAGGAAACCACAACACTGAAGTCCTTCTGCTTTTTGTCTTCCTTGTGATAATGTAACAATGAATTCAGTTTGCAGTTGCAATGTACAAGTGTACCTTGACATTGTAGTACATCATAATCATATTATTTTACATAATCCTGAAAGACGATGTTGTTGATTCACATGCTATTGACTGGGCGGAGGAGGAAAGAGCGATGCTCCTATGTATCCACTTGTATCCATGCATGGTGGCAGGCTTTGGCACGAGCCTTACGAAACACGAGAAACCGTGGAAGGCGCGATTGCTCAACAGTTGGCAAAGGGATGGCATTCGAGGTTGACCACAACTTGCCGGTGATGTTGGGAGTCCAGTCCACCACAATTGGGCCAAGAAGCCTCCCTCTCGAATCTCATTCTGTGCCTCTCTGGTCGATGTAAGGGAATATCTGATCGCGATGGTCGGGTGTCTATCTGCCTATACACTAGAAAGATCCCGCTGCGCCAGGCCCATCCACATTCCGTCAATATCAGTATGTCAGTACATTCTCAATGAGTGTCCTGGTACTTGTCTCCGATCTTGACCATGCTATCATAGCATCAATCTTGCCTAGAGAGAGATGGGAATGGCTTCAATACGTCCGAGTCGGAGATCAACGGCTTCGATCGATGACGGGAAGATCGGACCTTCCCGCGGCCCATCAAGTTGCACGACTTAATCCCCGATCTCGATCCAGCCACCTCCGCTTCTCCCGCTCCCCGCTTCCAGCCTGCCACGATCCCCAATCCACGCTTGCTTGTTCGAGATCGATGGTTCCCGATCGATCTACACCATGGGAAATCCGGAGCTATTGCTCCAGTGCCTACCTTCGCATTGATGAACATAACAGCAAACCCCGAAAGCCCGAAACAAGGTTGCTGCTTACTGCATTCGCTCTAAGCTGCAGCCCGACTTCACGGACGGGGCTGTGATAAGATTTGTATGCTAGATCAGGCACCACGTCTCCGTGATGTACGCAGATAAAATTGAATCATCCCAGCCTGTCCTCTTCGATCGCCGAGCGTTGACAACTGTAGCTGACGGGAAGAGGCCGAGCCCATCAAGGCAATCGGGTCACCGCATTCTCGATCGGAGACTTGAGATACAGGAGTGGTATCGCCTCGTGCCGCCTCCGTGCTTAATACACTCTCCAGGCGGTGCCTCATGACTTAGAATTGACCGCAGTATTCAACTCTCCGTCTGCGAAGTGCAGGAAAGAGGTATGATGGAAAGATGCATCGAAGTTCGTTAGAACGTCGTTGGAACTTGCATAGGGCATGATCCAAAACGGGCAGTTTGGCCGATCATCCCATCGAAAAGATGCAAGCTTACAAGCTTATACCATGTGAAGTTGCGGTGTGGACAAATGATGGCTTGGGCAAACGCAGGAAAAGCCCAGCAGGACTAACCACCGAGCCGACTGCGGTTACATGGATGGATGAGGCAGCTGTGACCCCCCCGCTTGGTGCGCGCATCTCAGAAGCAGCATTTCGTGCACCGATGAAGGATTTCCCGCGATCGGTAGACTAAAAAATGACGCATCCAAGCAGCATATCGTCGAAATCCCCTACGGTCTACCTTTGTACTTTTTTAAGTTTTTGGGGTATGTCCTGGCAAACCAGGTCCACCACGCGCAAGAACACAGCTGGCTAGGCTACATGGGAGCAAATCAAAACCTCCAAGGACACGCCCTAGCCCCCCAGTCCTCAGCTTTAAACTCACCCTGCCCCCACATCCCCCCGGAGTTGCTAGGGAGGACCAAGGAAGCTAACGTCTTCTGAACCCGGTACCAGGGTCGGGGGAAGCCATCAGCATCGGAAACAGGTGACGACCATGCACCCAGAGATTTGATTGCCGCAACTAATTAAGCAGGGTATGCGCGTTGGGCCGACCCACAGGGACGCCCTTGCAACTTCTCATCGACATCTTCCTGGGAACTTTCCCCGACCCTCCGCTCCCCCCACATCCATGGGTCTTCTTGATCTTTGAGTGTATCATGGGTGGGGATGCTTTAGTACAGTTGCCAGTACCAAGATGCTCCTCCTGCCGGAGCTAACTACCCCTACGATCAGCCGGCTTGGAATCCGGGATACGAGCCTGTCTGCCTACATTGTCATACAATAATACGTTGTGAAAGCTTCACCGGATGGCGCTAGCGCAAGTGAATGCACATCTATCACGCATGGATGGGGGTAGCGGGGGTTAGACAAGGTCAGCAACGTGAGCAACCTCGCTCTATGGTTGTGAGGTAGTCCGAGTCCATGGGAGGGCGGATGTGGGACGGACGACTTGCGCGAGTCCCATTGCCGAAATGGAGAGTCAACCAGACCTTTTGCACTAGCCCGATGGTGCAGTTCCCCGGACATGTTCAACAAGCGTCGAAGCAAAGTCGACATGTCAGTCCGGCTTTGCCCCATGATTGGGAGAAGATAGGCGGGCTGCTTGGGGGAGAAAGACGCCGGACAACGCGTACTCCGTGCAGGACCAACGCATTCGTAATTCGGCTGTGTCTCCCATTTGCGTGGTTGGTTGGTTGGGTTATCCACTCTTTACACCAATGTGAGGCGAGAAGTTAGATGTGGGTGGTGGTGCTTGAAAAGATTCACCTTCTCAAGCCTTCTCCGGTCCTCTTCTTAGCCCCCTCCACCTCTCAAGTGGAAGTGGGGATGTCCTTCTTGCGATCGGTCTCCGCGAAGAGGAGATATAGTAATCGAGGATGAAAGTAATAAAGTAAATAAGATGTCGTCCCTATTGGTACTCTCAATATATCTACAAACCCAGACCTGATTTCTTAACCGTTAACGCCTGTCCCATCATACAAAAGCCAATTCCCCAGGTAATATAAAAGCCCGCGAGGTCCATGGTGACGGTTAGTGATAGAAGAGGGTGACATCCAGACGAAGAATAGGAAAGAACAGATGATATGCTCGATAGACCACTAGAAACGGACTAGGCCGGAAAAGATGAGTGTGGAAGGAAGACGTAGGGAAGGGAAACCGAGTCAAATCAACCCACGATGAGCATCTCACTATCCCATTGGAACAATAAGAAGGTAAAACAAAGAGGGAAGAGGGTGGGGGATGGGAAGAAAAACCGATAACGTAGAGGCCTAATCCCTGTTTTCTCAAGAAGCGCCGCTTACGAGTGCTCTCGGAAATAGCTCCGGGCAGGTCCATGCGGTTCTTTTCTTTTCTCGAAAAAAGAAGCTAAATCAGTTGTGTGGGAGGGGGTGTTGGCGATCGGGCGGGAGGGGAAAAGGAAATGTGGATGCACTTCCTGCTTCTCCGCAGTTCACTAGTCGAGAGAGACCCTGCTCCAACAAGACTAAGCGGGCCTAGACGGGGCTCGAGGGTACAGAGTAGCCTTGATCGCGGAGCTTGCGAATAATAGAATGCTCTTCGGGCGCTAGGACCCGGGTGGACGTGCGTTAGTCTTCCCGAAAACAAACCGCCGCGTGTCCAACTGTCCGTATTGTGCATAGAAGGGAGGTGTTGCTGTCAAGGACAGGGATGAGGGGAGCTACGGGGTGAATAGAATACCGCTTTGTAGTAACGGTTGAAGGGAAAAAGTGGAAACTAGGAGATAGTTCCCATACAAGGAAGGAATCTAGACTCACATGGCTTCTGGGAGGGTACGTCAACGTCGTAAACGTCAAACCTGCGGCTCTCCACTTGATCGACAAGGATGGCGCCCTGAGCATCCCCGAAGTCGACGCGGTAAACATCCACCCGGATAGAGTACGACCCTTCGTAGGCGACGCTGAGGTTGGGAAACATGAAGACTATGGGCTGGCTCGTCCCTGGTAACCGGCGGTCCTCTGCACATGCACCTCCGGCCGTAAGAGTACCGACAAGCTGCTCCGGGATGAGATTTCCTTCGGAATCGCGTAGCACGGCGGTGGCGAACAGGTAAGGTACGTCTGCCTCGGTGGTCCCAGAGGGATATCCCATTGCTATGAGGGGAGGGTAGAGTCTCGTGTTGGCTCTCGCCTGGGAGGGCGGCTGGACTGCGACGCTGAACATCCTGGAGCGAGATAGTTGGTTGGATTTGGTGGTTGGCAGTGTAGATAGAGGACGTCTATGGCTTCTATTGCTGCTACTACTACTACTGATTTGGGTTGAAGCGCGAGTCATCCTGGAAGATCCTTTCGACGACATGATGGCCGTTTGAAGGTTCCAACTTATACTTCTTTGGATGTTTGTTTGTGTAAGTTAGACAATGGTGTGAGGGAAGAAGTAGATGTGGCCAGTTTGTTGAGAACGATTCGCAAAACAGGATCTCGGGAGGCGTATTGACCGTTCCAGCTGAAGTCGAAAGAACCGGCGCGCTGGGTCCTGGAAATTAAAAGTCCCCGGAGTGTTGGAAGTGCGCGTAGTGAGGGCGAAGTCAATGAGATCATGCGACAAAGAGCTTGGTCAGAGAATCACTTGTGTCGCGCAAAAAAAGTGCGTAGGTAGGACTCGCGGTGGCTGTAAAGATCCGGAAAGAGGAACGAGAAGCAACAGAGCTCAAAATCGGGAAAAAGGAGTAGGTGGGGAGCTGTTCCTTTATCCAGTTTCAGTATAGATTCACTGTCGAGCACCTCTGGACACACCGGATTCAGAGAGTGAAGTCTTACAGGAACTTAGGGCGAAGCAGGGTTTTAGTTTACGGGGGAAGAGGGACATCTGCTGCTGGCAGGATGTAGAATATTGCGCATCAGGCTGGTGTAGGTCATCAATATGATAGCTCATCCAGGGTGTGCGAGAAGCATGGAATGGCGAGGCGCGAGAGAATGACAGGCAAATGCGGAGTATGCCAACCCCCAAGACAAGACGGATGCTTGCTGAGGCACTTTTCTTTTGAGGAGAGAGCACTGGCTTGGCTATCCTCTTCCTTCCACCCGTTTGCTGCCCTACCTCAAGCCACTGGAGCCGGGGGAGGGCCGTATAATGTTTTATGACAGAGCACACTCTCATTCAGCTCTTCACTTGCCCATCTTCTCCAAGTCTTCCCTCGGCTGTCCTACTATCACCGGAGAGGGAGACCGCGAGGAGGAGCGAGGGTGAGAAGGCGACGTGCGGAGTCCGCTCGCCCATCACGCCCCACCTCCCACTCGGGCGGGTCGCGGAGGCTTCAAACGAACATTAAGTTCACTGTAAGAGTACGATACTTGGTTATTGTCTTCTTTTCTTTTTCTTCTCCCTGCCCCCGGGCTGTGAAATGAGACGCCACGCGAGCGGTCATGTTCTTGCTTGGCTACGCCTTCTCATTCTCGGGGAATTATATGTATCCTAGGTTCCAGATTCGGGAATGCTAAGACACCAGTTCGCCGGATGCGCAACGACGCAGCGCCGACAGGGCTTCTACCACATAGGCCTAGTCCTGGTTCGGTTTGGATCTCAGCCAAAACATTTACACTCCAAGCCAGATCAGGGCTAGATGGGGGGGCAACACCAGGGATCGGAAGAGGGACACGGCCTGGTTAGGGAAACGCCCAGCGGGCAGTCGAATAGAAGGCCGACCTGAATACCGAGGTAAGGGTAAGGTAAAGGAGATGACTACCGGATGATAAGCCACAGGAGCGCAGCTGCAAATCCCCGAGGTATTCCTGGTACTTGTGTCTGTCGAGAATGGGGGATCTGCGCGTGGTTCTTCCTCGATTCACCTGGCTTCGAGCCTTAGGGGAATAAACACAGCCGAAATTTAGCAGATCGAAAGCCACAATCGCAGATCGATGGCTAAAAAGCAATATTATGGGGATAGACAGTGATAAAAGCCAAAAACCGCGAGGAGGGGCGAGCGGGTAGCAAATCAAAAAGAAAAGAGACGGCGATGCGGTCCCCTTTGCTGTAACGAAACGTTTTGTTGCGTCGCCTCATCGTCCTCAGCTTCAAATTCGATACATCAAAGGGTTCAAGGCACTGAGACCGCCCTCAACACATAGGCTGCGCCACAAAGCCACGGACCTACTAGTAGAGCGTCGGAGAGGAGATCCCTGGGTGTCGAGAGGAAGAGACATTTCCTTGCCCTGGTCGCCCTGAGTGTCGTTTGGGACTATTTCCTGTCTGCTAGCGTACTTCGGATTGCTTAAATTTTCCGTCTCTGGATATCTCAGCGAGCATGGAGGGCAACACAAAGTAGAGTCATATGTTCAGCATGATGGTGCTTTCAGATCTGAACATCCCCGAGTGGGGACAAGGAGCCACAGGTCTGGTCCCATGGAATCGGTTCCCTCTCGCAGGGGACGTCTTTCCATACTTTTGCCGATCTCGATAAGTCGCACTTAATGCAGGCAAGCTTGGTATCCTCCTACTTCGTACTAACTCCCTGAGACACCACTGAAGAATGAGGGAGAATATTTGAGGTCCTTCTGTCGTCTCGTTCGTATTACTAGGTCTTTCGCCATGGACGTCTAGGGACCGTTATTGTCGGAAGGCCTGTGTGGGTAGTCAATGAGCAACAACTTCGTACTCAACGGCCCACTCCAACCAGGTCGCTGGGAAGAAAAGTGACAGGTCATCCGCGTGGTGTCGTCCCATCCCCAAAGATCCGTGCTGCTGACCCCCATTTGGAGGAGAGAGAGAATATTGAGTCTGGTTGGAGCATGTCATTAACCGGCAAGACAAGCTTGATTCGGGGACAGCCTCGATCTTGCGGCGAATTGGGCTTTCTTCTTGGGTGGGCTAATTGACGGGGGGTTAAATGACTGTTTCCAAGACTCCAAGGTGCTAAGGAAGCTGAAGCTCGGGTATGCTTCCTCTCTGAATCTCGTTGTCTTTTCCTTTCTTCATTTGTCCCGTTTCTTCATCTTGTTTCGCCGCCCCGCTCAGTTAACAATGCCGAGATCGAGAGCATTTAATATGCAACCTCTCGAGTCTTCCCTCCACTGTCATGACTGTCTACACCCCTGCAAAGGTCAGGTGCCCTTTTCCGCCACAAGGAGGAAGCAAGTCAGGACAGAGACGATGATATGTGTTGCACAGATATGCAGCATCCTGCTTAGAGGTTTCCAAGCAGGAGCGTCCAAGAGTTCAGAGACGCGTCGCACCATTTCCCATGCTGCCAGGCCCTGGTCGCATTGACCCTCCAATCCAGACTGTTGGGGCATTGTGGCTTTCAGGTAAGAGGCAACCCTGGCCAATCATTGACCTATAAAGCGAAAAAGAAAATCTAGGCATGCCTGGCTCTTTGCTGCGACGTTGTGGTGAACAATAAGAACCCCGGATCGAGGCCTGTTCTGAATAAGTCCAGCGGATCCAGGGTATGCCGGATGTCGCCAAGTATTCCAAATCATCTGATAATCCTTGCTCTCTTTCCCTCCCACGTTCTGTTGATGACCCGGGACGGCAGGGACGAGAAATGACCCAGCAAGATGACACTGTACATACATTCAAAGTTGACCTCTTTCTCGACTACTTCGTACGTCCAGATGACCTTCCGATTTGAAGTGAGAGGTCACATTTGGGCGTGTTAGCTCCTCGTCCTTCTACTTGTCTCTGATTCAGTTCGTTGGTTATCGCAGAGTGTTTTTAACCCATCGGCTTGGATCCCGGGGACCCACAAAGCACTTCGTACCCCCGCCAACTCGCGGTCCGTGAGTGACCCACAGTCCCGAGCCTGTTCGTCCGGTTCTCCCGCGCCGCGCGCCGTTATTTTCTTCTCAGCCCTCAACTTCTTTTCTTTTTGGCGGGCAAGGTATTCGTACTTCTTAGGAAAGTCTGACATGAAAGTAAGGTCTTGACACACTGCTGAGTTCACTGAAAACAGAAGAATGGTGCATAGACCCATAGGCCGAGTGGGCCTTTCCAGACCCAGCCCAAGCCTCTTGGGAATAGCGCCGCAGCTTTATTGAACCGAGGTGATATTGGAGGCTTTTCCCGCAAATTCGATCCCACCGGATTCTCCGTGTAATTCCGGCCATGCTCTGCCAGTGTGTGCGTGTGTGTGAAACGTCTAGAGCACGCACCAGAAAGATGACCGTTGCGTAATATTCACGCGGTCAAGCGGTTGATCGACGCATGACAAGGGCGTTTGCAGCTCGCATGAGACTGCCTTGTGCATACATCCCACCGCTCGGGCCCTTGGACAGTGCGGTGGTCACTTCTGGGAAGGACAGGGTATTCCTCTGATGAAGCAACAGTCCACGACCGCCAAGATCAACTCTTCACTGGAGCTGAATGAGTGGTGACACAGATACTATCCATCATTACCATCCCACGCAACCCTTGCATAAAGGTTATTCCAAAGCTGTTGAAACCTTATCCGCGTGCATTTTTCGTCCAATAGTCTCGTTCGGCGTCGTTCCCAATGTCAGATCTCGGGTTCATGCATTTTGTTTTTTTTCCTCAACCTGGTAGTTGGGTCGTTCCCACAAACGGAGCAAGTCTCGATCGGAGCACACTCATGCAGGACGGGGGCGGGCTCCTTCATTGGAGCTGGAGCGGAAAGTCCTCTGTCTATTACCAACGTAGTCATTGATAATGACCGGAGACATTGATCCCGTCACCAGTCCAGACTCGTTGAAGCTTTGGTTCTTCCTTCGATTGCTGCAATGACCCCAAGCCACCACCGAAGAGTCCCAGGACAACCCGTGCCGGTCTCAGCTAGCCAGAGGCGAATGTGCAAACTCAGAGCCAAATTCGGAAACGGAAGTCATCAATCGTATCCCTTCCACTCTTTTTTCCCATTTCTCCTGTACTTTTTTCTCCATTTCTCTTTTTCTCCTCTTTTCAGACTCCCATCTTACTTTAGTTCCACCCTCTCACAGCACTAATCCACGTCAATCCCACCCTAGATCCTGCATACACCCGTAGGCTTGAAGGGCCCGATGCGTTTGGTTGTCTTCCTCCTGGGGCAATACAATCAGAAACCACCTGTTGGTAAGCATGCTGTAAGAGGGAGTAAAGAGTGATAAAAACTGTAGCACAAGAAATAGGGCCGAAGTCTCCAGCTGGAATTACCCTCTCATGTTTCGCCCTAGCGATCATCGGCAGGGAAAAAGAGTCGCAGGGCCCAAACCACACTAGCTCTCCTGTCTCACTCCTGGACCCGGGAGTTAGCGAACTGAGATGGCATACATCACTGGATCCCAAGCCAGGCCGTCACCAGGCAAGTGGAAAAAAGTAAGTTGCTAGGCTACACACGACGTTCCGAGTGGTTCGCCCAAGGTGTTGTTCCTAGCTCGGGGTCAGGGCTTTGCTTCCCCGGAGCCGTAGCTAGCAAACGAGGGCGTAAAGGTAACGGTCGATGATGTGTGTGCCCCCCGATCATGTTGCTAGCACTAGTTCGTAGTATATTGGCCGAGACTGGGCCAAGCGGAGGCAGCCGAGGGGCCCCAAACGCGCCCAATCTTAGCACGCTCCTGTGCTGCCTGCCGAGATGTAATCGATCATCCTCCTCCCCTCCGTGGTGGCGTCTAGCAAGGACTGATTCGAACCAATTGATGAAGAGTCCGCTGAACTAGAGTCCCCCTCCGCCAGGATCGATCGACCATATTTCACCCGACACTCCGTTCGCTGGGAGGTGGTATCACGTCGATCACCAAGGATGAAGTTGGGGGATCGGCAATTAGCTCCCACCTACTTAAACCTGGTCCCCATGCTTTACTTGCCAGGCGTCACCGCGTTTAGAACCATTGAAAGCAATAAGAAGCGCTGGAGTTTGAAACCATGACGGGAAAAAAATCAGGAGAAATAGAAAAATGAAAGATTTCAATATATGACACTAGAAAATACGTCAGGAACAAAATTAGCTGAGCATGGCCATACCGACAGCAGCATGTGTATGTGCGTCGCTCAAGTCACAGCCTGCTCTTGGTAGCCCACTCCCTCTAGTTTGGGTACACATGGTTCTCCATCGCGAGTGACTCCGTTCACCAAAGTTTGCATGTCATCGTACCCATTATAGCCCAAGCCACCCCTTGATCCTATCGGTCCAGCTAGTCGGAGCCTTGGAGCGAGACTCGGATCCCAGACCCAAACCCCAGACATTATCGAGGTTGGGCTCCCCAGCCGGCCGCCTCTCGACTGGAAGCTTATCCTCATACAAGATCTTGAACGTCGGCGTCTCCACAGACTCCCAGTCATCCTCATTCTCCGGGTCTCCGTAGATCTTGAGGGCCCTGACCCTGAACTTGTAAGTGCCATAAGGAGCGAATGTGCCCTCACGGAACTCGCCATCCCAGTACAGAGGCGCTCCTTCTCCCCGAGGATTGAACAGGAAGGGGCCATCACGGAGCAGCCCGGTGTATTGCCACTCAGAGCCGTCTGGCAGAATTCGGACGATTTCAACGTCAACGTAGATGCTACCCACTGCCAGATTGATCAGGACACCGGGGAACCTGGTGCTGGTGAGATTAATCGCGGTCGTGAGATTGGCGGTTCCGGGCAACGGCAGTCGGAAAGTATAGTTACTCGATTGAACGGGCTCAATCGTCTCGTTTAGACCTCCTGGAAGCGGGATGGACAGAAGGCCAATGTCTTGAATCACCGTCTGACTGTGCAAGCTGCCCGTAGCGCCCTGGTAGGCGAGGTGGTAGAGAGATCCATCGGAAGCGTTAACCGTTACCCATCCAGACCAGACGGCAACCTTGCCAGCGTCCAGAGAACCAGCCGGTGTCGGTGTCACTTTAACCGCAGCGGCTTGACCAGGAGGGATAGTGAGGCTCTCTGGGTCAAACGAGAGAAAGGTGTACTCTTTGGTGAGCTCATTCGGGAATAGCGAAGTGGCGATGGAATCAGAGCTGTTCTTCAAGTAGGCGGTGGCGGCAGGCAGGTTTCCAATGTGATAGGTGAGCTCCTCATCACTCAGATTAACAATGGTAAACTCCTGGGAAGCAATTCGGTTGTCGGAGTCGTTGAACGCCAGGTTGCTCTTGTCCAGAATCGTAGTCGCAAAAGCCGCATCGTAGGCATGAATGACCCCGTTGCCCTGCTGAGCAACCGGAGCATAATAATCATAGGTGACATTGCCATCATTGTACAAGACAGGCTGCGCCGTGTTGGATAGCAACCGCTCGAACTCGGATGGAGTGATCTTCCCACGGGCCTCCATGAGGAGGGCCAAGGCACCGGCGACGAGAGGGGTAGCCATCGACGTGCCAGACAAGACACCAAACCCACCCAAGCGAAGAGGATAGGTAGAAAGGATGCTTCCACCAGGGGCGGCAATAATGGGTTTAGCATCAAGTTCCCATGATGGACCCCACGAAGTAAACAGGCTGGCGAAATTTCCGGTGGCATTGTTAGGGTTTAGAATTAAGGTCTTCTGGGACAGGTCTTCTGGTTCAACTGTGATTCGAACCTCGGAGCCTCCCTTCAGGTCTTCGATCCATTGTTCTCCCTGTTCAGGAGATACCATGCCGATTCCCTTGATTCCAGGGACCTCGCTGACATCGACAGTGATAATTCCAGGGACATTGTTGTAAAGCAAGATGTATTCGGCTCCTTTAGCTTGGGCCAGCTGGGCCTTCTTCACAAAAGTGCAGTTACCACGGCGAATAAAGGCAATTTGTCCACTGAGATCGGTGTCTTCGGGCCATTCTTCACAGGCATTGGCGGGGTCCGTGATATTAAAGTTGTACGCATGGAGTGGGAGGTCGACGGCGCCGGTCCAGTTATTGGGGGCACCAGCAGTCCACAAAAAGGTTCCACTCTCACCGCCCTCGACCGTAAAGTTGGACTCGCTCGCCAACTCCGGAGTCTCGATATTGTCAACCGACGCAACAGAGATAACACCCTTTCCACTGGCAGCGGAACTCGCGTAGAATAAGCCCTGGTCACCAGCGTTTCCAGCCGCGAGGGTACAAGGGATACCTCGCTCGACGATGCGTTGAACCGCGACACACCAAGGATCCTCCGACCATCCAGCGGGACCACCAATGGAAGCGGTAATGATGTTAGAGCCATCGTCAGCGGCGCGGATAAAGGCCTCAATAAGGACATCGTTTTCGACACCACCATTGCAACCGAAGACCTTGTACGCGCCAAGTGTCACGCCAGGAGCCGCACCCTCGACGCCGAACTCATTGTTCGTTTGGGCGGCAATAGTGCCGGCAACATGGGTACCATGTCCATTGCAATCGATCGGGTCCCAGTCCTTAACAGGGGTGGACGTGCCGCCGGTGTAGTCGTCTCCAGCAAAGTCCCACCCATAGCTTACTAGACAGCCCGGGCCGAAGCAGCCACCAAGAGATGGATGATTGTAATCAATCTATTGATCAGGTCATCAGCATACATGTAGGCTAAGGCAGAGGAAAGCTACCTCTTAAGGCGGTTGAGAATCAGATGAAAGAAGTGAAAAATTTGACTTACACCAGTATCAATGACAGCGATTCGGAGGCCCTTTCCGGTCAGTCCCTTGGCTCTTAGCTGGTCGACTTGAGTTTGAATATGTGTCGAGAAGACGTCCTTTTCCGGAGCGTCTGCATCCTTCCCACCTTTACGCTGGCGTTTCTGGAGAGCAGGAGTCTGTGGGTTGGGGGTGCCAGTCCAGATGATTTTATCATCGGGAGGAGGAATCAGAGTAACGGGATACACCCTCAAGTTGGGCATCCTTCTAATTTCGTCGATGGTTTCGTCTGACGTGTCAAGGTTGGTCAACTCAATCGAAGCGCCCCTGAAGTACTGGGAAGTGAAGTTCTTCCTAGCGCGGATGGCGGAATCCACCAACTTGTCGTAGAAACCAGTGACATCCTATCCAATGCGTCAGAACTGGGGCTAAGGCATAGCCAAGGCTTTCTCCTCTAGGCTATGATCGTGCTGATAGGAGCGGCCCGTGTAGGATCGGGAAACGAGAGACCTACAGCACCCTCTGCAAACTCAACGACGTATCTGTTGGGGATGGCAATGCGTCCCACCACGGTCCCGGCCGCCGCCAGGAGCGGCAGCAGTGCGCTTGTTCGAACCATGGTGATATCTTGGGATGGCTCGCAGTATACAAGATGGCAGATGATTTCTCCTACACTGCTAAGGGCTAGACCTTTGCCGAACGCGAGTGGAGGTGTCAATATTCCTCAACTGCAGGAGGTCAAACCTTTGTCGAGAAGCAGTGACAGGTGGAGGCGAGCTACAAGAAAGAAGGCAAAGGAGGAAACCAAGAACCATAAGTCTGGGGGGACGGCAGCAATACATATCCCCCCCTTCGAAGCGGTTCCGGGAACGGCCATATAGCAATACCCCACGCGCAGAGGTACACGCTTTATCATTTTGAGATGCTATCTTTCGTCATTCATTTGGGATATACCAATCCCATACAGCTGTGGAGCAGTATAGAGTGCTGGTCAAGGTGCGGTTTAAGGTACGAAGTATAGCTTGGACACCCCTGCAGCCGGGCCCACTTCATCGGGAAGGTACTTGGAGCAAGCTCGGCAGGGCAGGTGTGGATGCTCCGTATTTTGATGGTGGGGTGGGAAGCAAAGCCCCGGAGTCGTCGAATGGTGCCGGTGCTTGGCGTTGAAAAACCGGCGCCAGGAGAGCAACAAGGCAACCTGCGCGGGCTTTTTGTTCTCTCTTCCTACCTTCCTCATGGCAGTTTGGGAACTTTTATTGTACGAGAAAGTTAGTTAGAAAACAAGACGCTAACCTCGGACGAGATACGTCTCCGTTGGGGTGTCCCCGAAAATTTCTTGGGAATACGGGCGAGCATCAATTGGGGAGCCGATGCTATGCTCCCACCACGCGTTGGCAAATGATGCTCCTGCATAGGTCGGCGCGATTAATATATTGCGATAGTATTAATGTAATGGAGGGGTGGCAGCTCCTTTATCAGGCTAGATTATAAGGCAATATGTGCGAGCGGAGGAAAGGCGCGCTGTGGTGGAATGGCCTGCCGATGTAACTGTCGTCAGTAACCTCGAGTTGATTAAGTACCTTCTCCAACCTCATCTAACGAGCTTCCTTCGTGAACTTGGGCGGGGTTGCATCGTAGCCATTTCGGATGAGTGCCGCTGGAAAACGGGTGGTTGCGCATTACACGCGAGCACCTTTTCGCCGACAGGAGTGGACGCCCAGTAAATTTATCTCGAGAGCCGGCCGTGGTGTTCCCTGGGTGGCTCTAAAGGTGTTTCATCGCTCCGATGCTCTTTTACTCTAGGTTATGTTGAATATCGTCAACCGTCCGCCATCGTAAATCTCCAGAGAGTGGGAGGCAAATATGTGGCTCGCCGTGCGTGATACGGTCTGCTTCTCGCGGACCAGCGGGAAAGGGACTTTGGGTCCAGGTGATGCAATGGCTCATGCTATAGGCCGTTGGGCGAAATTCCCACGAGGCTCTCACAGGCTGTGTTGTCGTGATCGGCAGACAAGTAGCTGGGATCGGCATGCTTAAGCCGCATGATAAGGAATGCGGGCTGGCTCTGTAGGGAGGATAATGCGGTACCAGCTGGTTGAAAATCCGTCATAACAAACGTTCCTCGGTCGTTAATTCGGATTCCAAGTTGGGTGTGATTCGAACGGTCCGTGGGAAGCAAGTGCATGAGTCTTGTAATGGGCAGGTGAGGGCGTGCGTCAAGTTGAAACAGCCAGATCTCGGAAACGCTCGACCGCCAGGTCGAATCGGGAGGGCTCCATTACCACCTATTATTTCATTGATTCGCACAGAGAAAGTTAATCGATTGATTTCGTTGCTCAATCCGAGTCGAGATTGCAGCCGCTTGCCCACCTGAGCCTCTGTTTAGCGTGTAAGAGGACGGCAGTCCAATTACGCTCTCCCACATTTGGTTAATTTGATCGGGATTGCTGCCGTGATGAGATCGGAGGAGTAGTTGGCTGCAATAGGGCCAATTAGTTCAAGGCTCCCTCCATAACAAAGAATTTGGATTGCTCGGTTAGTACCACGCCGTTTCTTGGAGAGCACGAGAGGCCGTCATCCTGAGCACGCAGTGTGCCGTTTATGCGAGAGCTTAACAACATGAAATGTCGTCAACGGGATAGTGTTCGTGTTCTCAGTAGGATCCAACATTCCAATCGATGAAAGTAGTCGATGGAACGTTTTCAGGTGACCAAAATTTCGCCTACGGGCAAATTTACCAGAAACGGAAGCTGACTCGGTCAGGGACCGACTTCTCGATAAGCCGCTCTCCATGTAACTTCGCAATGCAGGTACCGCCAGGCAAATTGAAGGAAGGAGTGGAATTTTTGTGCGGGGGAGGCTGCGATGATCTTTTGATCTCCAATGCTACACTGCGCGTTGCCGCAGCCCGTGTCCTTTTGCTCTTGGCCGAGAGTGATGTCGAAGAAGATCAATGGATCACGACCTTTTGCAAGAGTTTGACGCAACCCCCCACTGCAACGGCCTTACCAGGTAATTACACCAATATACCTTTACCTCGTAAGAGGTGGTGTGAGGACACCTCAGCCTTGGATATGCAGTTGGATGGTGCCGGTTGGATTGTGATTATGACCGGCGCTGGAACCAACTGCCTCGACGCGCCGATGTATGAGCGATGAACGACAGGGCCAGATGCGGATGTGCGTACGAATCAAAAGTTCGTTCCTCTTTGTAGGCGAATGGATGGCGACCGGGACAGGACTGACCGAAGATCAATCGATTAGGCTCGCCCGAGTACTACCTCATCGCGTACAGGGAAGGAGCCTGCTCGGAGATCGTGAAAAGACAGAAGGCACATCCAGTTCCATTTTCACATGCGACATTATACTTTGCAAGTATCTTGGAAAAGCAGGAAAGCGCATCCAAAATACTTCGTTCAAATAGGTCGAGACTGATGCACTCGGGTACTAAAGGTTGTTGTTTGATGTTGCCATCTACGATTCTCTCGTGCTCGCGCCTTCTCCGATACAAGGTGCGGTGTCACGGTGTCACGGTTGTACGGCTCCGGCTCCGATACCCTCAATGTCGAGTGCTCCAACCACTTTGATCTCGCGCGTTCCATGTCGGCGTCATGCCTACCTAATTGAGATAAGACGTGTACTTGGTGTGATAAAAACAATGAACCTTCTATATCAAAGCTGCATAGTAAGCAGAGCCGGTCATCAAATAAACTAGGAGCTCCTTTCACGACTTTTAAGATATCAAAGTCTTGGCCATGTATGTCTTTACCAGGACACTCGCAAGGCCCCAAGCTCGCTTCATGGCTTCTCAAATGCCGAGAGCCGTCGCCGTGAACCGGCGTCCCCAATCAAATCCAAATTCTCCGCGCTCCCCCAAAGGACAATCCACGAGCAGAGCTTCTGGAAGTAATAACTATCGGAACTTGGACTTTCCGTAGCTTCTAGGTGTTCCAACACGTACGCACGAACATAAACGAGCAAGGTCACTCTATCCCTCTATCCCTCCTTCGGGGAAGGGAAGAGATGGCGGATATTAATGCGGACGGAAAGAGGGTGCCAGCTCCCGGCTAATAGGGACTTTGGGGTCACTCGCTCGCTCACTCGTTCTCTCCCTGACCTTCCTTCAGCTTGCCAGTGGCACAGAAATCCTTCGCTAAAATCCCGCGGCCAGAAAACTGCTCGAGCCCTTCGAATTCTGACAGTTGCAATTTTCTCGGCATGACCTCTTTCAGAGGTTATATTGCCTTGAAATTCCGCCGGGTGCCAGTCTCGCTTGCATTACCTCGTCTGCCGTCGAATCAGCCTGAGTCCAAGGGCCCGCGGGAGATTGACTCCAAGGATTCTCGAAAGGTTCGAACGCTCTTTGCCATCTTTCCGTGTTGGCAGGGCTAGAGGTATAAGTTGGCATATTGGGCTTGTCAATCTGGGGATATTGCACTTTGGGGTAGAGTAAGACTATGTAGGCAAGGCCCCACAGTACCCGACGTCGAGATCTAGAGAGCTGAGTGAGGGAAAGCTTGCCAGGTCAGATGAATGGCATTTCTGAATTGTACGACAGTACGAAGTACAGAGTATGACTTGCCAATTCCGTGCAGGAGCCAGGAACGAGGACATTCTGACAAGGAAAGCACATCCTCAGTTATTGACACTGCTGACATCTGCCGAGGTTGGATCTGTTAGCAATTTGTAAGCATCCCCCGCTTCTCCACTAACATTCCTTCAACTAAACCGCCCAATCGCATTCCCAATCCTGACGTCAGACAATCTATCATCCGAAAACCGACCAAAAAAAAAAATTATCGTGAAAGCCTTGAACGCATCGCAAAAGACCAAGAAAAATCAACCACAACGCGTCCACCACCCCCTCAAACACCTCAATTCCTCCTCCCCATCCTCCCCACCCAAAATGCTCCTCCGGACCGCCCTCCGCCGCCCCCTCCGGCCCGCCTTCCTCCTCCCCACCCGTCCCCTAACCACAACCGCCCGCCTCCAATCCTCCGCCCAAACCACGCCCACCACACCCGCGTCTCAACAACCGGCCCTCGCCAAACCCTCCGACCTCGACCCCGAAGAATCCGCCATCTGGGACCAGCTCGTCGAGAGCCTCTCCCCGACCGCCCTCGCGGTTCGCGACGTCTCGGGCGGTTGCGGATCCATGTACGCCATCGATGTCGTTTCTCCAGCCTTCAAGGGGATGGGTCTTCTTAAGCAGCAGAGGACGGTGAATGCTGTGCTCGGGGATAGAGTTAAGGGGTGGCATGGTCTGCAATTGAGGACGAAGGCGGCTTGATTTTTCTCTACTTCTTATTTTTGGATGGTTTCGCCTTGGAGGGGATACATAATGGCCGTGTACGATACCAGGGGACGGATAACGAGCGAGAAGCTTGCATTAGGAACCGACGACAGCATTACGAGCGTTGCAAACCAGCCCGAAAATAGCGCCGGGGGTTAGAAAGAAAGCCGACATCTACACGAACAAGACGATTAGAGCGCCACCACGAGCAGGTCAAGAGGAAGCCATGGACAACCGGCGTTGACCACGGATCCTCTTTCCCGATTAGCTCGCTGTACAGAATATTGATCGCATCTCCACTTCGGATGATTAGGAACATGGATTTGGGAAACAAAAATAATAATGTAAATGTTCTTAGACTCTATGAATAAAACAAGACTGAAACAAGCAGTGGCTCTCGTTTACTAACATCAAACGTACAAGCAAGAGTCGCATGCTCTATAAAATGCAATACACTGTATCTCCCTCCCCGTAAACCAATTTTATGTCGTGTTACACTATTATGCAATCCCCCTAGCACCACTCAAACCATACTGGAAATAGAACATAAATAAACATATATATCCCGTGGCCTCCCATTCATTTACTGCTTCAAGAACTGAAGCGCCTGCTCCCTCTCTTCAACAGGCATGGTCCTCAACACCTCACGCAGACCACGGAGACCGGCACCCTTGTTATCCCGGACGAGCGCCGACAGTTGCGCGGCAAGGTTTTCAGACTTGAGGCTGTCAACCTTGTCGGAGATGGCACGTCTGTTAGCCTCGTACCACTCGGCAACACGTCGATCGCTCTTGTCGAAGTCCTCAATGCTAGACCACGAAGCCAGCAGACGGAGATTGCGCTCCCTGATCTGGCGGTTCTTGGTATCGTGGTGATCGGGCGAGGGGTTGATAATGGCCGACGCCATGCGGCGCAGGATGTACTCTTCGTTGAGTCTACGGCGGAGGCGCCAGTAGAAGAATCGCCGCGCGTCGCTCCATTCAAGGGCCTCGCGGATGACGCCCTTGGCCTTCATGCGACCAGCGCGGTCGTGAAGATCGGCGAACTGGAGAGCAATCTGACTGTAGATGGGTAGCAGCTGCTTCTCGCGAATAGCCATCTTAGCCTTAATGGCTTCGATCTCATCCTTGGGCCCGCTGAGGTTGTCAGCGAGCTGCTTCTTCAGCGCCGCGTAAGTAGGATCCAAGCGAGACATGGTTTCAAGCTGCTTGGGCGTGCGGTATTTGATACCAACGAGACCCTCAGGTTCAAGGACACCGCCACGAGCCTCCTTGTCAGCATACATCTCCATGAATGTGGGGTTGATTGTGGGATCAACGACAACCCAAGATCCGCCACGAAGTTCTCCGAATGGCGGGATATAGACGAAGACGGGTTGCTTGTACTGAGTGAGGGCGTCGACGATGAACGAACCATACTTGAGAACCTCGTTGTACATGTCACGCTGACCACCGGAGAAACCTCGCCAGTTGGCAAGAATCATCAAAGGAAGCTGTTCGCCGTGGTTAAAGTCATTGATAGCCTGGGCGGTCTTGAAGGCCGAGTTGGGGTACCACACGCCGCCAGCCTCGATAGTAACTTGCTCAATCGAGTCGGGATTTGCGGCATCAGCAGGCGTGATGTTCTCAACCGAGCGGGTCTCAACTCCAATTACACCAACAGGGATACCGCCGAGACGAGCACGGCCGACAACCACAGTCTTCGCCCATCCACCGAGAGACTCGACAAACGAGTCCTTGTCGAACAGGCCGGGCTCGAACTCGCCCTGCTCGTTATCGGGATCTTCATAGCGACCGGCAATCATCCACCGCACGTCGTAAGGCTGCTTCTGGGGCGGCGTGTAGACAACATCACGGTCCCAAGGATCCGAGCTAGGGCTGATGGGAACAGGGGCATTCCTCTCCTTGGGGACGAACGACATCCATTCAACGATCTTGGAGATACCTGCAAAGTCGTCGGTAGCAGTCATGTGGGAAACACCATTCCTGTACATGATCTGAGTACCGCCAAGCTGGAGGTTGGAGGTATAGACTTCACGACCCAGCAGGTTGTTCAAAGCAGGCGCACCGGTAAGAATGATGGGCTGGCCTTCAATCTGGACCGCACGCTGGCCAAGGCGGACAAGATACGCACCAATACCTATTTCGGCTCATGTTAGTTCTCTGAAATGATGATCATGGGAGTGTTTTCAACACTTACCAACTGAACGGCAGGTGACAAGGGTGACCGTAAAGATGTCATTATACGCTCTGCTTGTCCCGCCAGCAATGAGACCGGAGCCACGCAAGCACTCAACACCAAGACCGTCCTCGGAACCGACAACAGTGATAATCTTATGGCGCTTCTCTCCTTCCTCGGTAACCTCCTCGGTGACAACGGCGCTCTCGAATCGCTTTTTGGTGGCCTCGTCGAGGTAGAGGTACTTGAAGCCACCTTCAGGAGCCTTGGCATCCTTCCAAGCGACCTTGAAGTGTGGGATGAGCTCCTCCGCAATACCGAGACGAGCACCAGAGTTCGCCGACAGATAGATGCGGGGGATTCCAAGTTTCCTGGCAAGGTCGGTACACTTTTGGAAGAAGTTGTCTTCCTTGGGCCCGAACGAGCCGATCTTGAAGGTGATATCGTTGGCGACGACGATGAACCTTCGGCCGTTCGGATACTCGGGGGTGCGGGCCCTGATGAGCCAGCCCACCATACCACAACTGTTGGTACCGGGCTCACGGTTGACCTCATCGAGGTTGTCCTGGTCGTCGAGGACGAGCTCGGAGAAGGCAATGCACTCTCCCTGCTTGGGCTGCTGCGAGGCAAGGCTGGGGTTCTTCTTGGCAGCCTTCGTCCAGCTGTTCTGAATAGCTTGCCTGAACAGCTCAGGGAAATCATACACGTACTGAGTGCCCATAAGATGAGCCTTATATCGCTTGGGCTGAAGATGATTCTTGGTGGGGTAAGGAGTCGATACCGGCATGAGATGCATGGGACCCTTCTCCTTAGTGCCACCAATGCTGTGGAATACCCAATCACCCTTCTCCGACTTCTTCTCAGCGTACATGTCCACGTCGACAATGTATCCGGAGGTGTTAGTGATCATCACACGGAGAGGCAAGGGGTTGCCATCAGAGTCAGAGCAGACGATACGGATTTCCACCTGTGCAACGCGCAAGCGCCAAGCGCGGACTCCGAACCGATCCAAGAAGCCCTGGAGGTTGTGCTCGACTTCCTGAGGGTGGAGTTGGAAGATGGGAGTGAAGTTCATGAAGATGTGGTTGAGATCGGAGTGGTTGTTGCCAATAATCTCCAAGGCATCGAAAATGTCGTTGATAACGCCATCAGCCTCGTTGATCAGATACTCGGCAGTGGGGATCTCGTCTCGAAGACGACCGGGTCGAATCACAGCACGCGTGAAGTAGCGCTTGTCCGTATCTACAGTCTTGCCGATGCCCTCATACACGTGGATATTCTTGTTCTGCGTGAAGACAGGCTTGATGCGGAACTTGGCAAGACGTCCAAGCTCGAGCTGGAAGGCCAGTGCAGGCTCGCTATGACGAATGCTGTCATCCTCCACGTAGTCGGGGCCCCTGAACGTGTAGTGTCCTGGGTAGGAGCCATTGTTGTGGCCGCAGATGAAGGTGACTCGTCGCACACGGCGGGCGAGGAGGTCCTCCCTGACCTGCTCGATGATTGGAAGAATTCGGCTAAGAATATCCTTATCATTCTCACTTTCAGCATCGCGAACCGCAACGTTAATGACAGCCGACAACTCCACATCATCACCAGAGTGCTTAAGGGCTGCCGGGCGCCTCTTCCCATTAAGGTCAGAGATGAGACCAGGCTGCCTACGCTTGGTAAAAACTGGGAGCGCCTCAAGAGCCTTTGGCAGAAGCTCCTCGGCATCATCGATGTAAGCGCAAGGGATGATGACGCCCTTCCGGTTGGGCTCCTCATCCCATTTGTTGATCAACTTATACGACATGTCGCTAATCGAGTGGATGCGCTTAAACTCACCGCTAGGAGTGGCCGGGGACGATGGCGCGGCAGACTGAAGAGGAAGCCCAAACTCGGATTGGCCGATCTTCCTAAGAGCGAAGTCCCAAGAAACGAAAAGAGGGCTGCCGTTGTCATCATGATGGTACGAGATCTGATTGAGAATGTACGCTCGATATGCTCGTCTGACATAGACCTCAAGAGCAGCCAACGACACCCAAGGGTCGTCGTGGGCGAAGAAGAGGGTCAGCACGTCAAAGACTGTGTACTTGGAGTCGACGACTTCCTTGATAACATCAAGACTGGGCTCGCGGTGGTCCCATCCAGTTTCGCCGTATCGCGACTCGACAACTGACGATCTAAGAATATGTTCCATCTGGGCAGTCCTCTCCTCCAAAGAGGGCATGGAGCACTGAATCATAATTTCTCGGGCTTTGAGGGAGACCTTGGAAGTGGCACGAGAGGATTGGAGCTCAGTCAATTGGCGCAAGACGTCGCGGAGATACTTGCCCACGTTACCGACGTTAGGCCTGTTGGGACGATACTCATCAAGGATGGCGAGGATCAAGGAGCTCTTCGGCCCAACACGGCTGTGAGAAAGAACAATCTGAACGACCTTGGAAATCTCTTCCTTGTGTTGGTCACGCAGCTTCAGGATGACACTATCCTCCTGTTGACGCTGGCCAATGAAGTGACGCTCGACATCCCAGTACATGAGCAGCAGCTCCCGGATCAAGTTCAGTTCCCTCACCTTCTGGCCGTCCACGTAGAGCTCTAGAACATCCAAGAGGGGCTCAAGGTTGGACTTCAGGAGCGGAACATCGCCAGGTGCCACATTCTCGTCGGTGAACTTGTGGAAGGCACGAGCAAGAGACTTTGATGGGAACTCGGCATGTCGAGCCTTAGCTCGGTCCACGATCTGAGAAAACTGGGTCGCAAGCTTGCCAGGCATACGGGTGTGGAGAGCAGCGAACTGGGCGTTCCATTCACTGTACGGCAGCTCGGGATCGCGGAGAACTTCGATGAGCTGGCTCAGTGTCTGTGCCATAATGGCGGAGTTATCGTAACCGAGGAGGATGTTCTCAGTAGTACCGTACAGAAGAGCGAATCGCTGGGCGGGTTTCCGGCCAACGTTGACAGGCTCACCGTATTCGGGGAGGCGGTCGACGAAGGGCTTGGCCTGCTTAACCCGGGTAGGGTCATCCAAGGCGAGAATACCAAGGATATCACCGGCCTCAAGAGTAGCTCCGGGCTGCATGATGAGCTGAACTACACCATCTTCCTGGGCAATGAGAGGCATGTACATCTTCATGACCTCAACCTCGGCGAATGTTTCACCGGCCTTGATGTGCTGGCCGTTGGAGACTGTATACTTGACAAGCTTGCCGGGACTGGGAGTGCGGAGCTGAGTAGGGTCGTTCTCCTGCTCGAGCAAGCAGGTCTTGCTGTCCACCGAAATACGCGTGGCACCGACTTCTTCCTTCCAGTAGACGTTGTGGGACCTTCCGTCAAGAAGGATGAGAAGACCACCGTCACTGAGGGCACGAACGCCTACGGCACACTTCGAGCCATTGATGAAAAGGTGGTAGGTATCAACACTGGCACGAGTTACGGTAAACTTGTACCGCTGACCCTCGTAGATGAAGTCAACGGGGAACACCGTCTTCAGGATGTCCTTCGAGGGTACCTGACCCTTCTCCAGACCGGCCTTGTACTCTGCCATGCAGGCCTCGCTTGCAATATGAGCCTTGGTGATGGCGCCACAAACGACCGCGAGCATAGAATCAGGCCGCTCAGCGGTCAGCTTCTTGGAGATAAGCTCATCCAGCCACCCAGTTGTGATAGTGTTCTCTTCGAAGGCCTCAGTCTCGAGGAGCTTAATAAGATACTCGACAGTAGTCCTGAAGTCACCACGAATGCTAAGTTCCTTCAATGCGATAACCATGTGCTTCCTGGAGGCTTGTCGGTTCTCGCCATAGGCGAAAATATGACCAAACTGCGAGTCGGAAAAGCTGTGAATCTTACTCTGAGGCGAGACGGAGAAGTAGCCCCACACATTTGAGCTACTGCGGAAATTCAGGTCATGCATAACACCGTTCGATGGCTTGAATCCTTCGCCGGGATCCTCGGAGGTGATACGGCACGCCGTCGTATGGCCCTTGGGACGAGGTCGACGCTGGGTCTTCTCGCTCTCGGGGTTCTTGAAATCAAAATCAATCTCGGTCGCCGTTTTAGGATCGACTCCGTAAAGCAGTCGAATATCACGAATTCTGTGGAGCGGGATACCCATCGCAATTTGCAGCTGGGCAGCGGGCAAGTTGACACCGCTAACCATTTCTGTCGTAGGATGTTCGACCTGGAGGCGGGGATTAAGCTCCAGGAAGTAAAACTTGTCATCGGCGTGCGAGTACAAATACTCAACAGTACCAGCAGACACGTATCCAACCAGCTTTCCTAGACGCACAGCCGCCTCCTCCATACCCTTGAAGGTTTCGGCCTTGGCGATGGTGACGGGGGCCTCCTCGATAATCTTTTGGTGCCGTCGCTGAACGGAGCAATCGCGGCCAAACAGAGAGATGTTGTTGCCATACTGATCAGCTAGCAGCTGCACCTCGAGATGCCTGGCGTTACCGGCGAGCTTCATAATGAAGATGGGGGACCCCGGGATTTCGCTGGCCGCAGCCTTGTAAAGGGACTCAAAGCCCTCCTCCGACATGGCCTTGCGGATACCCTTGCCGCCACCACCCTCAGAGGCCTTGATCATGACGGGGAAGCCAATCTCCTTGGCTTTCTTCAGGCCTTCCTCCCAAGAGTTCACACATCCTCGCATGTAAACGTCGTCGGGAACGGTCACAATTCCCGAACCATCGATAACGACCGTGTTGACACCGGTTCCGGACCAGGGAATACAGGGGACTTCGGCATGCTGAGCAACAATGGTCGAGGAAATTTTGTCGCCGAGGGATCGCATGGCCGATCCGGGGGGACCAATGAAGACGATCTTCTTTGGGGAGGCTGCAAGCGACTCGGGAAGCTTCGGATTTTCGGAGGCGTGGCCCCTGTTTTGCGCTTCAGTTAGTATTGGAGAGGCGCACAGTTTGGAGCGCGGAACCCGGTGACCTACCATCCAGCCCACACAGCGTGGACGTTCATCCGCTCCGCAATATCAACAATCAGCTCAACATTGGCATAGTTGTGATTGTTGGTTCCGCCGGGAACTTCCACGTAGTGATCAGCCATGCGGATATAATCAGCATTGGCTTGAAGATCCTCAGGCGTAGCCATGACCGTAAAATGGATGGCCCTCTCATCGCCAAAAGTCTCGTATGCCCATTTCCTCACCGAGCGAATCTCCTTTACGGCAGCGATACCGTTGTTGGCGATAAGCACCTACCATCGCAATTACACGTCAGAGCACATTCATTTAAAGAGGGAGCCAAACCGGGACGGATGGGAAGAGAGAAAAAAAAGACAAGCCGCACATTTGTGATAACGGTGTGGCCGTCATTTGCGGCCACGAAGTCTTTTACTTTTGATGCGGGGGCATTATTGAGGCGGTTTCCGCCGATAAAATGGTCGGCAATCTTATGCTTCTCAGCATAGCTCGCCTTGCCATTAGCATAGGGGAGCTTGCGCGTCGTCCCATTAGAGGCGGTCGTTAATTCGGTCATTGTGGAATATGGAAAATCTAAGTAGGGGAGAAAGTGGCGGGACCGAAAGTCATCGAATGTGGGAGCTCGCGAGGAGCCGGATGAAAGCGAACCTGGAAGCCAGCACTTCGGAGGGGGAGAAGAAGTCGGCGGTTCGCTGTCAGCCTCGTATTATGCAGTATAGTATAGTATACGAGTAAGTATACAGATCGGGATCGAGTCGCAAAGGCAGCGGATGCGGCGGTTCGAGCAGCTGGAGCGAGAGAAAAGATATTGGTCAACACAACAGGCCCAGAAGAGGCACGGAACCCATGGCTTGCTCCAGTTCCTCGTCAAAACAAAGTCGGAGTAGGTAGAAAAGCGCTCAGCTCGGCGGCTATGGGGAAGTGCGCTTACTATACGCTCAAGAGACACTGCGCCTGTTAGCACGAGAGAATCGAGTTTCGTGGTGGTCGGTGATTTTCGGTGATTATTCCTTCACCCAATTCGGGGGGTGGGAGTCGCCAGCTGCAGTTATCTCGTGCTCAGGTCCAACAATGGCGAATCACCAAGTCGGACAAGCTCCTCTTTCGTTTCGTTTTGAAATGAAGATTACACGGTTCAAATACAATGGAAGAAGGCAGTTGACAAAATAGTCAATAGGACCAAGAGACAAGAAGAAGACGAATTAGTGGGAGTAAGGAAGGTCTAGGACTTGGAGAAAGTATTAAAGTGGACAAGAGGCACAGTTATGTCTTTAGACAAAGCTGGAAAGAGCACAGCATAATTACGGGTCTAGCAAAGAAGCAGGACCAGAAATCGCAAGCGACCAGCCAATGCAGTGGTAGCTCCTCCTGCCAACGGGTAGCTTCGCGACTGGCAGGTTGTGTTGCCATTGCGGGACAGTGGGAGACTAATTTTTTTTGTTGAAGGGGCCAAATTTTCCCTGTTCAATTTGAAAGGGGGGTGAGGCGTGTGGCTAGCCAATGGTTGCTGTCTGGGCTGTTGGGGACAGAGCTCGAGCCAGGGGAGAGGGGTGTGGATTCCGGGAAAGGAGAAAACTCGGCAGGCGGACAACGAAGTCATCGCTTTCCCTAAATAAAACCAATGATCCATGTTCCACGTCGATGCCTTGACTGCTCTTGCCTTCTTCGGCTTACACTCTATAAACGAAGCCCTCGACTTGTAATCATAGTGTAGGCCGCTTCGGTCGTTACTTCAGCTGCTGGGGTGCCAAATACAAATGGCGCGACTCCTGGCTCCTGCTCTGGAAATTTTAAGCGTCAAGGAAGATTGATATATCTGTGGCTTGGGTGATACTGATGTTCGAGTCTGATCAGTCGTCCCTGGATGCCGCGGAGTCTTGGAAAAGGAAATGCGGCACAGAAGTTATGTGGAAGGTGAAGTGAGGACGAACAATATCACTTCTTGGCGCTCATCCTCTGTCCCAGTGCTCGGGAGTGTGTCAAGGCCATTTGAAATTGCACTGCAAGGTACCTGATGTGACCATGTCCAGATTTGATAAACATCTCTTGATCTGTGCCCTGGAGTCTCGAGATAATCGGTCTCCTCAATACGGCAGTCGCAGGCACTAGGCAAAAAAAAAAAGAGCGCCTGACTTTTCTCCGGCCGTTCCAATTGCTCGCGTCGTTTATCGAAGTATGCCCAAATCGGCTGTTACCTCTATTACAAGGTAGGACTCGTTTACATATCATTCTAAATCCACGGGAAGGAAACTCGGCGAAGGCTTGGTATTTCGTAGTCATAAACTGCGAGAGACAGACAGTTAATGTGTTAGTGACTATTCTTGTTGGTGACATGCGGAGGAGGATCCCTTCCCCCGAGAAAGCCGGAACCCACCCCAGCAGTTTCCCCAACATCGGGACCGAGAGCTAACACATGAACGCCACCGGTCTACGGAATTTGAGGAATCCGAGTGCAAGGAGCACTGCCCTCCAGGTTTACGTCGGGGTCCAGTCGTATGCGCTCTGTGAAGTACGAAGTACGATTACAACAAGTCAGATCCCCACATGAAGTCCGGCGGTAGATACTGGCAACAGCGCTTTTTCAAGATTTCGTCGCCAGTCTCCTGCAGAATTTGCCAAGGTTCAATCATCACTTTCAGACGGCCCCAAGGAAAGAAGTAAAACTACAAGTATACAGGTGAACCATAGTGTACAAGTAAACTGTGGATCTTAAGATCGCCCAGCAACGAGAACACTTTCCTCAATCTCAACATCTTTCCAGACACCCCTCTCCCACACATCTGCATTAGCATACCGAAAGAGGATTAGCGCACCCTGACGACGTCACCACACTGTATAATATAATCACCTCCAACACTCTGCCCGCAAAGAACCTTCCTCAACCCATCAACGACTTCGCCCACTCGTACCAACCAACAATATCTTCTGTCACGAAACAATATCGAAGACGTGGTGGCTGTATCCCGTGCTCACATCCTGTCCGAGTCCACATCGAGACAGATGCGCTAAAGTACACGTTGCTTGGTTTTTACCTTCTTTCTTTCCTCGATTCTCAGTCCCCATCTTTTCCCCCAGTTTCCTCGATCTCCGAATTACAAGCCATTGTGTGTCCATTGTAACTAAGCTCCGAAGCTATATCCGACTTTCAAAATCGTTGGGTTCCTGAAGCGTTGAGAACCCTCCAACTAAGTAAGACCTTAAATCACGAACTGTCAACAGCGCATTCAAGATACGCGCAGGGTTAACAGCTCGCGGGCGTCATAGTATTGTTCTATTTAATTTTTATTGACGTTCGTCATCGACGACGTGTGTCTACTCACGGAGAAGATGGAAAGGAAACGATTACAAAAATTGCCTAAATAATCGACCAAGAAATATCATTGATCTTTTCCCGCACCGCTTCTTTCTCTGGAAAGCTCCCCCAGTAATAGCAACGGCCTTGCATTTCCTGCGAACATGGACACTTCACGGCTTCGTGGTGGGTGTATCCCAATAAATGTAGTTTACATCCCACGCACCCGTTCCCCAACCCGCAGATCCCCAACAGCTTGTCCGCTGCCCTATCACCAACCACCACCCGCTAATCCGATTGGGTCTCTCATTCGGTACCGCTGAGGCGATGCGACCCTGCATCCACTACCAGACTGCTTTTTTTTAGTCCAGTCTCAAATCTTGCCTTCGAGGACACTCCGTTGCATCACGGATAAGGCAAAGGAAAAGAATTAGAGCAGCTTCCAGTAACATGCCTGGAATTAGTCAGTTAGGGACAGCACAGCAGGACCTAACGGAGTACATATTCCGGCCGCGCAGGAAGAAGTAGTCCCAGCATATCCTCCGGTTCCTTGGAAATAGCATAGTTCAGTTGCCGTGGACGAACTTGGGGACAGTTTACTATCCTTGGATTTCACGTTGACCTCTCGCTTCCCTTTGTCTTCGCCAAGATCTGTGATTTACTCGTATAGCTGCGTCGCCTATCAGAGCTGGCGTGCCGCTTAAGGAGCAAGCTCGGAAATATTTACTCGCTCGACGATCAGAGGCCAGGGAGCTTGTGCTTGGGTCCCTGCGTTGTAAGGCTTTCACAAAGCCTTGCTTTTTAACCTTTTCTTACCCCTCCAGACCAGGAGGGTTCAGTGCCCAAGGCAAACCCATGGTAAGACCATCTACCTACTTGTTTCGAAACCCAATACCCCAGCCTCATCATGATGTCCACAGTCTTTGGCAAAGATGATAATCTCTCCCTGTAGCTCTCTCATTGATGTCTAAGTCATAAGGCTAGTAAACTTCAGGTGTAAACCTTGAATTTCTACGCATGCTCAGGCATTCACATCTATCACAATAGTGGGGGATAAAGATACAACTATCCAGTAAATTGAAGACATAGGAAATACTGTTGCGTAAGTGCTGTCGTGTGTATCTAGAGGTATCAGATATGTAATGCTCCAATCCAGTATTAACCACAATCCCATATGTGGCCAAAACAAAAACGAGAGGGAGAGGTTTAACAAGCAAAAAAGGGGGACATGAACAAGGAAGAAAAAGGAAGAAAACAAGAGCATCAATCCCACCCTTTTCCAAACATCTGCTTCACAGAAGGACCAGTTCGCAGAAACAAGATCCAAATCAAAAAGGAAAAGAAAAAGAGTAACAAAAAGAAATAATAATCCCAACGCTTCCCCTGCGTTTACCCTACGACATAAAACCCCGTAACCCCGTGGTATAACAGCCATGCCTAATGATGAATTCTTTGATTCATGAAAAATTTCGACAAAGGAAAAGTGAAGGAGTAGCGAGAGGCAGTTGTGTGTATGTATAATTATGTGCACTCCCTGACAAGTTGTAGTAGCAAGTAGAGCCACCAAATTGAGGGAAAACGGAAAGGAAAGAGAAAACAATGATGAGAGAATTTGAGCAAGGGAGTGCAAGGAATCCTCTTTTAATAAGTCTCATCCAACTCATCCAATGGCTCAGATTCCCTGAACCCAAAGCCGCTGCTCACTCTCCTCGGACCACCACTCTGCCGCCGTCCCGTTGGGGCCGGGATGGAGCTGGCCGGTGCAGGGATCCGGCTCACGACACCTTCCATCTCCAGCTTCGAGAAGGTGCCTCGTCGGCTCGGGGTACGGAGGTCGCTATCGTCTTCAAATTCGTCCGGGTCGAAGCGGCCCACACTAGCAGAGTGGCCATGTAGGCTGCCACCTAGGGAACTGCGGGGACGGCTAAGAGGCGTCCGCGCGCCGGAAAGACTAGTTCGGCTAAGGGGACGGGGCGGAGGGTTCATATCGGTTCGGCTGCTGGGTCGGGCGTATCCGGAAGTGATGCTAGCACGGGAACTTGGTCGAGACATTGACGCTTCCGAGTCGCCACCGGGATTCCTGTTGGGAAGAGGTCCAAAGGAGAGTCGACTGACGCCCGATGTGCTGAGGCGGGGAATGTGCTTGCCCGCAGTCTGGGTGCTCTTGCGGGCACCCTGGGAAGGGTTGGTAGGGGTGGTGTCGTCGCTAGCTACCGAAGCGCTAGCGCTAGTGACTGAGCCAGTTGCCCGTCTCCTAGATCTAATAGTGACGGTCGAAGGTACACTTCCCATGCCATTGATAGAAGACCGAGGCGATGGTCGCGGAGGCGTGTTGACGCGGGCAGGCAGCCTAGATCGCGCAGACTGCACCCTTGCTTCCAAGCGTTGGACCTGGGCGGTAAGGGAGCGAATGTGCGAGAGAGAGTTATTGGTGGTGGGAAGTCTATGCGACGTAGAGCGAGGCGCCGTGGTACGGTTGGCGGGAGTCTTGGTAGCAGGAGTGGCGGTAGCGACGCGGGTGACCGGCCTCTTGGTGAGGGAAGACGAGAAGTTGGTGGGTCGAGGTTTGGGCGTAACGCTGTTGTCGGCCGACGGCAAGCGCGACTTCCTCTGCGTCGAGGGAGCTGGAGTCTTGGTCAGAGAGAGCCTGGGCCTGCGGAGTGTGCCGGAAGCATCAGACATGGGAGGCGAGGGCGGGTCCTGAACCACAGTGGGCTTGCTCGGGGGCAGGTCGATAGTGTCGGGCGGCGTAGAGATAAGAGGCGAGCTTGCGGTCGACTCTGGAGAGCCGATGCTCTTGTCGAAGGTAGGAGATTCGGGAACGGAGATGTCGGTTGAGATCATGGATAGGTGGCGCGATTCCTGTTTGCGGAGCCGGTCTTGGAGCACCTCAACCTCAATCTTGAGTTCCGAGAGCTCCTCCTTCAAGCGCTGGGCATCGATGCGGAGATTCTCACGCTCCTGCTCGCCCATGCGAACCTCTTCCTCAAGCATAACGCCTCGTTCGATGGCTACATTATACTTGGACTCGAGGTCTTCCAGCGACGATGATGTGTTTCGGGCTTGGCGCTCAAAGTCGTCGTTGGCGACTTCTGCATCCCGCAACTTCAGCTGCAGGGTCCTGTGCGAATCTCGAAGCGTGGTAATTTCCTTCTCGAGCGCATTCTGGGCAGCGCTCGCCTCCGCCTTGGAGTCTCGGTATTTTCTCTACAGAATCATCACGTAAGATATATGCGACCACTAGGGAGTTGTGCCGGGATTCACGTACCTTCCACTCATCGACTTCATAGTTCAGAGTCTCAGCCTTCTCTTGAAGGAAGCGCTCTCGCTTTTCAGCTTGCTCGATATCCTTTTCTAACTCTTGTTCGAGTTCGCGACTGGATTCTCTGAACTCGGCGAGTTCATGCTCGAGTTGCTCATACTGGGATTTGTACCAGGAGAGAGCCTCTTCGGCAGTCGTGGTGTCGGTGGGCGGTGAAGACGGAGGTTCGGCCATAATGGTTAAATTCAGGTTCGCTTTCTTCGCGCACAACTAAGGTTGGGATGGAAACCGCATGGAGGAGTGTAGCCCGTTAAGTCGGTGACCGTTTCAAGGGTTAGGAAAGGGAGCGACTTCCCAGAAACGAGAAAGGCGGTGGCTTGTGCCGTGAGCCAGCTTGCCGAGTTAACGAAAGTCAGAGAGACTGTTGCCAGCGGTTTTCTCCTGCGAAAAGAGAAGACGGCGGCTCAGTCGTCGGTCTGAAGATAGGATCCTCCGTTGGGGGCGGAAAGAGACTGTTGCGCGTTTGTAATGGCGAGAGCCGAATGATGACACACACGAGGGAACCGATCGGATACGGGGTAAAAGGGGAGCGAAAAGAAAACGGTCGAAATCGATTTGGCGAAATAAGGGCGTCGGAAATTTGCTGAAATGTCGTTCGAACTTACCTACATTGGGGATCGCCCGGTGCGCTCCTTGGTCGAATCGTCGTCGAAAAGTCGAAGTTGGCGATGTTTGTCGTTGGGTGTTGATCGGTGGAGGAAGGTTTCAACCCACCGTGGGCTGGAGACGAGATCAATGTTCCTGGGTGTGTTCTGTTGTTGTTGTGGCTGAGGAACGGTGCGGTGTCTCCTGGGCAAGGCACTGGCGCCTTCCCTGATTGGGCGTCGCCACTCCGGAAGTCACTCCTTCTCACTACCATGGGCAACCCGCATGTGACGGAGTGACTTTGGGAAACTGGAGGGGATGCAGGAACAGGGAATATTAACACTGTATACTATGCGGCAGGTTTGGTGAGCGACTGCCAATTTGTTACATGTTGTGCACTGTATGACTGACATCAAAACAGTCACTCCTGCCTCCGCAGACCCAAGTCCTTCGGGGTACTTCCTCATAGTGTCAGTGTACTGAGGTACACAGGTACACTAGTACAGGTCAATCTGCACACTGACCTGACTGTGTTTGGTGCAGAGAACCGCAGGCTCGCTTGCCCAAGTTTGGCATCAATCAATCCATCCAATCCAATTGATGTCACAACATCGACTACGAAGCATCAATGCGGTAATGCCTCTCTGGTCGTTTACCATTGATCTCTTGCCATCTATTACTTACTTCGCACACAATTCGAATCCTCGCATCGTGATCAATTGATCTCGCCTTCAGCCCACTCTACGCCCATGCAGCAAACGCTGCCATGGCAACTTTTCCTTGAGCCCGCCACCAAGGTGACCAATGTAACCAAATCCGAGCCACCCATGCTGCCAGCCCGCTTCCCCTCTTCCCAACTCGAGAAAGCGCTGACACTTGGACATTTACGGCCCCTGCAACGCGGATGACTGGATTAGTGGGCAGACCGCCATCAATCACTTAAGCTTCAAGTCCCGATCGCCTCAGTTGACACTTCCAAAACCTCCATCATTGCACATCGTCGCATGCAGAGATCAGGCAGGTCCACTAATTTTTTGGTCTGTATCCCACAAACAGAGAATAGTTTCTTGTGCCCACAGTTTCTCCTCGTCCATTCCTAACAGGCCCATTTACATTGGGCATAAACGGATCATCTCCTCTCCATGATGTTCAAACTCGAATTTACTCGAATTTATATTTAGCCAAAACCGTCTCCACAAACTCCCTCGTTTCAGTTGACTAGTCCTCTCCCCCAACCAAGGACATTCCTTCAATCTCAACCTGGACTAAGAAAAGGGGCCACCCTCAAATCATCGATCCACCTAATTCCTCTGCATTGATCTAGGAATAGGGAACTAGATTTCCAATATTAACGGGCACACTCTTGTGCTACTGCCACGTAATCGTGAATCATCGCCATGATGGTATCAAGTATTTCCTTGAACGGGGGATCATTGTCCAAACACCTCTCAGGTTACTTCCAGCTCCTTCCAACCCCCAGTCACGTACATTGATATGATATCGGCGTTCCAGATGAGGCTTCAGGGACATTTCCGCGCTGCGGGTGGTCAAAGCTTTCAGCACTCGAGGACGCACTGCACATTAGTTTTAATATTTGTAGAGAACCACAAGTCAAGAGCCAAAGTGGAGGGTTCGTGAAGAATCCGTACTTAGTTCACATCATAAGGTCGTATCTACAAAGTATACTCTGCGTTGTAGAGCGCAGTAGCGTTCATCATTGCTGCCGCCTAAACACTCGTCATGGCACAGAAACCAGCCTGAACCCCCCCCCCAACCCAAGGACCACAGCTGCTTCGATTTCTGGACCGACCCCAGGTTGACGTCAAGTCACTTCGTCACAAGTAGTTGTCATCCTCGCCTTTTCACCATCTTTAATTCCAACAACTTGCCGGGATACCAGCTAGAAGCTCAAAGAATTGGGAGGATCTTCACTCCAGCCACGCGACGCCTACCCTTTTCTGCTCTCACATCTACGACGTTTTCGCAGATGGGGTCGCAGAGGCGCATGCACATACTTCCCCGGTTAGCAGTGTATCCAGTTACAACATGAAGGTAATTGGCTTCGCACGTACTTTCGCTTCCTCCGACGATGAGGGATCCAATATCAATCACACCGCAAGATCGAAGCACACATGACGCAGCTAAGCTTGAAAGACTAGCCTGGGCTTCGTCCTTGCACTGACAGGCGAAGTCCGAGAGGCCGCACCCGACCCGCGGCGGCAACGGCGCGATACAAGGTTGAGCGCATGTCGGAATCGCAGTCTTAGCTACTAATGCGCAGTCCGTCGTCTCCGTACTTCCCATCAGATTCGCAGTCTCCATGAGGGTTGGCTCGTTGGCAAATCTCCTGACGTTTTGTAGAATCTGCTCCGTTTCGAGGCAGGCACCCGGTGTCGGTGTTCCAGTGGCGCACTCGCACACTGAGTTCGCGCCGAAGATGACTCCAGGAATTGACCAGAAGGGACATTCGGTCATGACACACCACCGCATGAGCGTAGACATGGCCGCCTGTGCGGTGGACTGGCACTGACATGAGAAATCTAAGACGCCGCAGCTAACACTTGGGGCGTAAGAGAAGAAGCAGCTCAGTGCGCAGGTGGGTATCGCGGACAACGCGACGGACGTGCAGTCCCGAGACTCGCATGTGGTCATGAGAGAGGAACCGGAACCCTCTTGATGCGGTGCCATATGCGCAGTGGGATGGGGAGGCGTAGTGATTGTTGGGGAGGTGCCGGACACGTCTCTGCTACCGCCGCCTATCCCCGTAGCGGCGCTGTGAACGCAGTCGCAGATAGAGCTGCCGACCTTGAGCCCGGACACTAGAGAGGCTATGTCCCCGGAACAGGCAGAGCTGGCGCAAGGTAGTGCGGCCGCGTGGATTGCTTGGGACGAAGAAGGATCACATTGGCCTGTATAATGGATGAGATCAATCTTATTGCAGTGAAGAGGCGGGTCGGATATGGGGGCTACTTACAAGACAAGTCCACCGTGTTTGTACAGCCAACACTTTTAGCTGCTGTAGTAATGCATCCAGCCTACTCCGACAGATAGAGTTAAGTAGGGGATAGGCATTCAGGACAGAGTCGGGGACACTCACAACACATTTCGGGAATCTGGATGTTATATTAAGGCATGCCTCCAGCCCATGAGCAATCGCAACGAGAGACAGCCACGCCAATGCTCTACCTAGGGTTATCTGGGCCATGGTGAGAAGATAATGTGAAAGGGGAATGTAAGAGCAACGATGATTGTTTACGGATCCCTTGGGGAGTAAAGTTACCGAAGTGGCGCCTACGGAACTTCAAGAAAATGGAAAACGAGCAGCTAATGATATAGATTTGAGAGCGTGGCCACTTCTATGAGTCGTATTTCGTGATACCAGCCAGACCGGTCAACTACTGTTTACAATAAGCTCTCTTAGTAAAACATATGCGTATATAAAGAAGATATTCTATCGTTGGCCGTACCCTAGCACCCCTCGCGCGAGAGAGGGGGGAAGAGACGCGAACAGTTCACCCATCTCGTGGTATAGCGAGGGGTGGGACTACCCGAATGCCTACATCACATGAAAATAAAGGCGGTTGGGTACTGTGTGCTATTGAACGTACTGCGAGTGGTACTGGTGAGCGTTATCACCGCACGGATGACGAGTTTCCGAATTTGTGCGATGGGCTCCGACCATGATCGCGACCTTTGTCTCCGAATCGAGCGACGCAAACTAAGCTGGGGTCATAGGCTTCCACTCTCGTTCTGCCAGGTGATATTATACCCAGTTGTGGAACGTGACTGTATTGCAGAAATGCAAGTTTGACTTCTTTGTCTCTAAGGCTGTGTGTTTATCCTCGAAATATTTCGGCTGACGGCATGAGGACTACGTTGCTCGAGATTACTGATCGCTGCCACCTTGTGGTTCACATGTACTACTCATAGCTCCGAAGAGTGTGCTAGGAAGAAGGCATCGGACCTCCCTCATGCGGTTGGAGAATACCGAGTCGGGAGATGCGCCTGGGAAGAATTCCTGCTTGTTGTTGATACACTCGTTAGGTAGTGTCAATGATAGAGGTTGAGCTTAAATCTGCGGGGGTTGATGACCTTGATGGCTGTTCCCTTCTACATAAAGCCTAGTATAAGAGGCTCAGTTTCTGAATGGTGCACCCTACCGATTCCATTCCCGCTTGCTTGCTCAATTTTGCATACGAGAAGAAAATCCACTAAGAAGCAGAACGAGGACTGACCAACGGTCGCTTATTTCTGGCGTATAAGACCTCGTCTTTGCGTCAAGACCCCCTCGAATCATCTCTGCTTTATTTTCCAAAGACATCGTCATAGTTCGTCAAGCAGAACCGATACCTAATATCATGATGCCCCAACCTATTCAACGCCGTCTTCAAATTCTCCGCCGAGAGAGGAACCTCCTCCACCCAAGTCTTGATCCCCTTATCTGCCGCCAACTGCAACATCTCCAGCATCTCCCGACGGCTCCCCAAATGCGAGCTACCAATAAAGCATCCATTCGGCAGGAAATCCTGGTTCTTGATCGTGATGCCGTCGCCGCCCGGCAGACCTACGGAAACCCACTTACCATGCACGTCGAGTAGGCTGAGGTACTCGGCGAGCTGGAAGCCGTCAAAGGAGTTGGCCGTGTTGATGATGAGGTCAAAGGTCATGCGGTGGGGTTCGTTCCAGCCCTTCTCGTTGGTGGCGATGAGGCCTGTGGCACCCATCTTCTTGGCGTCTTCCTCCTTCGCGCGGGATCGAGAGATGGCCCAGGTCTCCGCGCCCAGGGCCTTGGCGAAAAGGATGCCGAAGTGGCCGAGACCGCCGATACCGACTACGCCGACCTTCTTGCCGGGACCGCAGCCGTTCCGGACGAGGGGACTGTAGGAGGTTAGCCCGGCGCAGAGCATGGGGGCGGCCGCGGTGCTGGGAAGACCATCCGGGATGGGGAAGACCCTAGCGTCGAAGTTAGTGGGAGGCGTCGGCGATGCACGCGATGCACATTGGCATGTGGTGGAAAGGGAAATGACTACCAGTGTTCATGGGTTCGCACATGCGACGAGTATCCGCCCTGGGAGACGATGCCGGTATCGGGCCACTTTGCGCCATAGGTATCGAGCTGCTTCGTGCAGTAGGTCTCGTTTTCGTTCTTGCATTGTCTGCAGTCGAGGCAAGAGTACGATTGGGCTCCGACACCGACTCGTTGGCCGGGCTTGATCAAGGTGACCTTGGGTCCAACGCGGAGGGCAGTACCGACGATTTCTACCGCATTGATTGTAAGTCGTTAGGAACGCCAGTCCGTTTTACTCGCAATAGCCTCCGGATCATCACCGTCAGGGATAGCTACATCGCCACTCACCATGACCAACAGCCAAAGGGTAATTCTGCGGGCCCCACTCGCCGTTGATAGTGTGGAGATCGCTTGCGCAAACACCACAGCACTCAATCTTGATGTCGACGTCGTAATCGCCGAAGGGCTTTGGCTGGAACTCATTCTTGTGGAATTCCTGCCATGTTTCGGCGCTGTTGACCTGGAATCCCGTGAACTTATCCGGAACAGCCATGGCAAGAACGTGTAAGACAGTGGAATCAAAAAGATGACGAGGACGATGATTAGCGTCGTAGGCGGGAGCCGTAGCGAGATTTTACTTTGGACCTCTTCCTCAAGAAATGATTCTATTTACGCGAAGAAAAGAAGAGAAAGGAAACACAGTCACAGAATTCTAAACTTTGTTTGAAAATCTTGTCTTTTCCCTGTTCCGCTTCCCCCACCCACCAATGCCTCACGACATGAAGAGCAACCCGCTCCAATGTGAGCGCTTCAATGGGAGGGGCAACGAGGGGCAGACGAAGAGGCCCGTTCTCTAGTGTGGTGCCGTACCAAGCCATGCCACTCAGTTGGTGTGATTTACCCGCGCTCCTCCGCCTCGGGGGCATGTATATTACCGGAATGCTACGAAGTATTGACACACGAGATGTGCCATATGCAGGCAGATATGGGAACCGTGCAAGCTAATCGGTGAATAGGCGTCCTGGTGTGGATGTTATGGTGAGGAGAACGACTCTCGACCGGAAAAGAGACCCGGATGCCGAAATTTCCACCAACAATGGGATGGAATTGGTCATGGGAACCAACAGAGAAGTCGGGATATTTGTTTGCTGCAGGTGTGGGGGGCAACGTGGGAAGGATTTGGGGTAGTTGAGTGGAGTTGAACGAGCATTCGGGACTTCAATTTGTTGGAGTGCCAAATAGACGATGTTCAGGTTGTTCAAAATGTTGGCTGTTAAGAAGTATCGATGATTAAGCAATCAGCGTTGCGTTGCAGTCGCGAGCAAAGAAATCTCAAGCCGTGACAATTTGTATTGGAGAACTCCGATTACATTGTCTTGCTCTCAACAACCGAACCTGAGCTAATCTCAAAAGCTTGCTCAATCATGCCCCCAAAGTCCACGGCGCCTGTCAGGCGAGGTGCCATTGGCATCAACCTACCTCTCATATATCGCCTCTTCTTCCTCCTCATTGAACCGATCTCCGCCACTGTCGGTGCCTACTACGCACATTTCCGACCACTCGACTACCTTACTCTCACACACGCGGCATCCGCCCCGGCTTCGGACTCGGAGATACCCCTTGGCACAGCCATCGTCCTCTCCCAGCTTGCCAACCTCTACTTCTTTTTCGCCCTAAATGAAGCCATTGTACTAAGATCGACGGCGGATCTCCGCGTCTGGAAAGCCGTCCTTTTCTGTCTTCTCGTCGGAGACTTGGGTCATCTGTACACTGTCCGACAACTGGGGATCGGGATATATTACGGGGTATCCCGGTGGAACGCCATTGACTGGGGAAACATACCCTTCGTGTATCTCGGCGCCTTGATGCGAACTGCTTTCTTGCTCGGAATTGGGTTACCAGGCAATCCCGTACGCGGCAAACAGAAGCAATAAGTCTCCCGTTTCTCACCACCTAGAAGGCATGATGGCATCACTGCCTCTCGCATCTGCAGCATTCAATCTTGGGTAGTAAAAGGTTGGGGAAACGGAAAGGAAGCCTGAGTCCGAGCCTGAAGCTAAGCTGCGCTTGTCTAGCTCTTTTCTGGCAACTCTGGGCACATGTCTTGGTCACTTTGTAGGCCTGCCCCACGCGTCCCTCCGAGACGGGTGGTCCAAATGCTTTCACCGGTATTCGGATTTGGAGCTGTCAAGCTGGCGTTGTGAAACCTCTGGATCAGGCGGTTCCCTGATTGGTTAGCTTCTTTAATACTGGCAAACCTCCTTTGTTCATGACTACACAGGTAGATTGTGTCCAGCGGACATACGTAAGGGAAGAGACGGTGTTGGCGGACCACCAGGTTAGACACCGGATAGTCTCGGATCGGAGCATCGTTAGGCAAGGGCGGGTTCAGAGAGGTTGGGGATGCAGGGATTAAAGGAGCAGGAACTGGCAGCCCAGCGCCGCCTCAAGCCGGCAGGACACTCATGTAGGTGGATGGATACCATTATCTTGATTCAGCTGCGGCCCTTTTTCCGATCAGCTACGAAGTACAGTGCTAAGACAACTTGGATGACAAGAAGAAATCGATGGAGTAACATAGTGATGTTGTTTGAATGCCAGCGCTGGCAAAATTCGGATTGTACTGAACATCAAGCGGACGACACCGAGGTCAAAGTTGGGGATGTTTCTATTTCGGGGTCTGTCAATGACTAATCACTAGTCGTGTACCTTTGTATTTTAATCTTGGGATGATGGAGACAGCCAGAGCCGTCAATGACATTGATTGAGGTGATGCAATTGTGGAACCTCCACCCTGAAATTATACCACGATGGACAAGGTTCAGGGGCAGAGGCTGCATCAACGACCTCACTGGTCCACTAAGATCTGGCAGGCAGATTGATCGAATGAGCTATGGCTGACGATGTGTCGCATCGCTTCCGTTCATATCAAGGGTGTGGATGCGAAACTACAGGGGGTGAATTGATGTCGGTCCCTCTTTCATCTTCAACCCTTTTCAGAGATGACTGCACTTCCATCTGAATAGCTCAGATGATAACACCAGCGGGCTCAATGTCTCTCTGTCTTGCCAGCTCCGCACATGACTTGACTGTATTCAACTACGCGTACCACCGGACAGCCGACTTCATTAATCATTCCAGGTCAAACCTTTTGCCGGATTTTATCTTGGACAAACTTCAACATTCTGTACCTTATCCTCACATCAATCAGTTGATCAAAATGGGAGTCAGTCGCCTCGCCTCCTGTTCCCCTGTCCGGACTTGTTTTATGTCTCCCTAACGCTTGACTATTTTGAAACTACACTACACTACTTCGTTCCTCTTCAAAGTTTATCAGATCACAATGAGCAAATTTCCCATTGTTCATGTTGCCTCCCTTTTTATGCCTTCTCAGGACAAGTAAACCACCCAAAAAGCCCAGGCCTCTTGTGTCCCGTCCGCGCTTCGGCTCCAATTTCTGCATCCCCTCAACGCACAGTCGCTCCCTGAACTTAGACCCCCAGTCCGTTTCATTGTTTGGCCTCTCGACGGTCACAACCGACTTTTGATAAATGCACTGATCCCTGTCCTTTTTTTTTTCTTTCGTTTTGTTTTGCGAGCAACTGTCAACTGTCAATTTGTTTACTTCCTCTCGGTTCCCCGCTCTTCATTCCTCAATGCCACTGTTGTCCTTCCCATTTCCGTTTTCGGCCAGGGCGAGCAGGACACAACATTGGAAGGATCAACACCGACTGCAACATACTTGTATGAAGCCTATCTCCACTGACACCCACCAACTTCCTACTTCCTACTCCATAAACCGACCACAAACACGACAGGAGCCAGTGACTGTCAGCACTTGACCATCTCCGCCCACTTCCTTCGTGCCCACCTTTCTCGTGCTGACGGCACCGGATCACGGTCTAGGACCATCCTACGAAGTAGGTCCAGGGCCAAGCCACCAATTCATTGCACGAGACAGCCCCAGCCTAGCTGAGAAGGGGCAAACTAAGACTCAAGCGCAGTTGTGCAGCAGGTGGAAAGGGAAACGGAAGCAAGGCTGCAGGACCGCAGGACTGGTCGAGACACAACCACCACACCTACTTCAACAATCAATACCTAGCGACATTCTTGTCTTCAAATTTGTCGCGTTCCTCTCGTTTTCTTTACATCGATCGTTCCTAAAATTCCAGTTTCCTACCTCGAATTTACTTCTGCAAAGACGCTCGACTGTAACTGATGTGTTCGTTTCGACGACCGAACTCCCCGACGCTATCCCCATTCTAGTCCTAGAGTTGCCGCACGGAATCCCTTCTTGACACTACTCTACTTCGTATTGTCTCCTATTCCTGCCACTTGGCCGGAAAAGGACATTCACAGGTGTGGAGCGAAAGGGTATCGAAGGAGAGAGCTCCGTCTCAGCAAATCAAGCACGCATGCACCAATTCTCGACGAAAAAGCAACGAATTCCTGCAAATATTTGACTGCGTCGGTTCCATATTCGTCCTTCCCCTGCAGTGGTGGTGTTGTTCTTGTTATCCCTTGCTTAAAATAGGGATATTAGATGCACCGGACAGCTGGGGAGATTTTATTGCGAGTCCGACCAATTTGATCCCCACCTCGTTTGGTGCACGCGCACGCGAAAGCCTTTGTCACTTGGGGCTGTCGCTTTTGGCTGTGCCAGTTCGCTATTTCCTGGACTGTCATAATTCAACACACGCCTCTTTTTTTCACTTTCTTCCTGTTGCTTTTCTTTTCCTTTTTGTCTCTTTTTTTTTCTTCCTCTTTTCTCTACACGGGTGGGTTCGGCGTTTGTCTAGACAGAGTCGTCAACCGGGGTGGGCTGCCGAGAGGGCCTCAAGATTGATATCGTCGAAGCACGCGCTGCGAGGAATTGTGCGAGAAGCCTCACAGCGAACCATCTCTTAATCAGCCGCGTACCGTCCTCTCCGCCGATTACCTCGCGACTCCTTGCCATGTTCGATTTTATGCGAAATTGACACCTGCACCATCTGATCGAAACACCGGTTTGACGAGCCAGACGGATATATTGAGCGGACAGAGCCCCACGCCTTGTTTACGAGACAACGCCGATGACGAGACGCATCATTCCAGTTGCCGACTGGGCTCCAGCTCAAGAAGCCATGTATTCAGAACCCTCCTCCTCCTTCAGTCCTTCGAGAGGCAACCCCGTGCTATACGAACCCATCATGCCCTCCTACGAAGCGCGGCCACGAGCCATTAACTTTTCCCTCCTCCGACGTCGACCCAAGTCCCTCGTGATCGAATCATCGGACACCAACATGGCTGTCCCATTCCTCGAAAGACACAGTCATATCCGTTCAGAAAGCGCTTTTGTGGGGCATAGTCATGCGTCGAAACCCGAAAGCTCCTCGTCTCTTCGGGGCATCATACGACGAGCCTCGACTTCCCTGAGAGTGAAGCTACACCGCCGGCCAACCTTGACGAACAGTTCGATTTCTGAAGAGCCTTACCTTGAGGCGAGACCTGCTACCGCGCATGCGACCTGGCACCGACTGCGACAAGCTGCGAGCTTCCGCCAACAACGCCCGGTCTACGGAGAATCGAGCGAACCGCCTAACCATCAGTTAGACCACCTCACCGAGGCCATGGCCGCTCTCCCAGTCCCCAGCATTGGTGGCGAACCCCCTATAATACCTCACAATACTGGGGCCGCTGCCAAGGCCTCCGTGGCCGAGTACTTGAATCTTTCGGGGGCCAGCTCGAGCGATCAAGAGTCTGTTTCCCATGGGCTCCGAAACAAATGGCTTGCCCACGTGCCTGGGGAAGAATGTGGAAACGATCGGGAAAGTGGGATTGGAATCACCGTTGCTGGGTCTGTATCGGAGGCAGACCTGACAGACTCCAAGCGCGCCTCTCTTCGGACCCAGGATGGCACCATCAGTCGGATAGATTTCATCACCCAGCTCCCGACTGAGCTTGCGATCCAGATCTTGTCCCATCTTGATGCTTCCGGACTTATGACTGCAAGTCAGGTCTCTTGGGACTGGCGAGCGGCCGTGGCGAATCAGCACGTCTGGAGGGAGTCTTTCTTGCGTGAAAAGACGGCGACTTACGCCACGAGTGGACCGATCAAGCCTGGTGCTGGCCTCGGAGTTCCGACTGTTAAACCTAGTAATAACTGGAGAGAGATTTATTGCGCCAGAGAGGAGCTTGATCGGCGGTGGAAGCGGGGAGAGGCGAAGCCTGTGTACTTGAACGGGCACTTGGACAGCATTTACTGCCTTCAATTTGATGAGTATGTGTTTGCTCTTCCGCGACGTCCGCGGACAGTCCGGTTCCCCGTTGCTAACGACAGTATAGATTTAAAATCATCACAGGCTCAAGGGACAAGACCGTCAGGATATGGGACATGCACACCTACGAGTGCAAGCTTGTTATCGGACCTCCTGAGGTCTTGAGCGATATATCTGTTCTAATTGACGAGAGCAAGCAGCCAGTCCACTACGCCACGCTTTCAAACAACCAACGCGTGGCCCACTCGATGCCAGCTCTAGTCTCTTTCCCAGTTCACCACAAAGCGTCCATCTTATGTCTCCAATACGATGACAAGATCCTGGTCACTGGATCCTCGGACGCCAGCTGCATCGTATACAAGGTTAATTCTGGCTACCGTCCAATCAGGCGCCTCCGACGCCACGACGCGGCAGTTCTCGATCTCGTTTTTGACGAGAAGCACATCGTGACGTGCAGCAAGGATATAAGCATCTGCGTCTGGGATCGAGAAACGGGCGCGTTGCTCCGACGGCTCAGAGGCCATGCCGGTCCGGTCAACGCGGTTCAGATGCGAGGTAACACGATTGTGTCGTGCTCGGGCGACTTCCGCGTGAAGCTATGGAACATCGATACGGGCAAGAACATTCGCGAGTTTGCCGGCCACACCAAAGGCCTCGCCTGCTCGCAGTTTTCCGAAGATGGTCGTTACATCGCGTCGGCCGGAAACGACAAGGTGATCCGAATCTGGGACGCCAACACCGGCGAGTGCCTGCGCGAGATGAAGGCCCACGACGGTCTCGTTCGGAGTCTCCACATCGACAGCGTCAGTGGGAGACTCATCAGCGGTAGTTACGACACGGACATTAAGGTCTTCGATATGGAGAGCGGGTCCCAACTTCTTGACTTCCCTAAATGGCACGCTAGTTGGGTGCTAAGCGCCAAGAGCGATTACAGGAGGATAGTCAGCACCGGCCAGGACCCGAAGATTTTGATTCTCGATTTTGGTGCCGGAGTCAAAGGTATAGAGGCATTGGAGAGTACCGAGCGACAGGGCTCGGACGGCGGTTATATTTGAATCTAAGAAAAGGCCGTGGTGGAGGGAGAGGCCTTCAGCTACGAAAGTTGTCCGCGATCCACGACGTCAAACGAGTCTAATAATGGAACGCGGAACAAAACGGTGGAACAACGAACAAACACAACTAATGCATACTAATGAAGACTTTTGGGCGGCGATGTTTGGGTTTTTATCTTGATCCGACGCGGGTTTCGTTGATTTGAGGAAAACCTACCGCCGCTTGGAGCCTTGAAACGAATTTTCTTTGTTACAGACACGCTTTATAGACGGAAGGAGCATCTTCTTTGTGTCTTTCTCATGTATTCTATACGCTGTTACATGTCCCTCCTTTTTCTGTGGTTTTCATTATGCGCGAGATTCTTGTTGTTTTGTCATTCCGATCCCCGGCCTGTTTTCCTTGAGGTGTTTCCCTTAATTGAAAGGGACGGATTGCCGTTATTTAGGCAAGCTATCCCATGTGTACACAGAGACCCTTGGACTCTTACTTTTCTCTTCACCTGCTCTTTTAGAAGCAATGGCATTTATGACTGGGGAGGCATGCGAGGAGACTTCCAGCCCTCACGGGCTCTTCGTTTAGTTCAATTACACTTGGCGTTTTCTTTTCTCCTACATCTGCCATTCTCGGGTGCGTTGTTCTCTAAGCATGTGCCATGAGTCTATTAGGAGCTTCGAGCATGTTCTCTCTCGGCTGAACTCCTTCGCCAAAGTAGACTTGTCGATGCTACGCCGACAGCCAAAGCGTACTATGCAGCGTCACTACTGCCTGGCTTAGATGTAACGAGTGAGGGGAAGTCCCATGTAACAAGACGAGGTTTCCGCTTCCCGTTCATATTCTATTTAGAGCTTGGGGCGATGGAGTGTTGCTCCGGTCGTGAGCGTGTCTTAGAACTCGGGCATACTAATTCTTGGCGCCGTCCACGTGTAAAGAAAAATAAGGTGTCTACCGGGAGTACTGCATCTGGTGCTCTCTGTCTATGACCTATTACCATTTGTTCGTTTGTTCAAGGGACGACCGGAGTCTTCTTCGCTAAGTGGTTATTTCCCCGGGTCGTGTGGGCTGGTGGTATGAAGTGTGCCGGTGTAAGTGTTCGCAACTCTAACAGCGAGACACCTACAACTCGATATTGAAGAGGGGTAGAACTTCAGGCCCAGCCCCTCCGGTTAGACTGGTAGCAGGCCGGGAGAATACAATCTTTTTGTGATGGCTACGTGGTTGGGTGAGACGCGAGGTCGCACAACATATTGATTAGAGTGTTCTAAGACCTCCCCTTCGTCTTTGAGGTTTGGTGATGCCATACTGTGCAACCACGGGACATGAGGTATCAAAGTCGGTACAGATCATGTAGAGTTTCAACTTAGAGATGGACTCTGGATAGGCCGATACGGGGAATTAAACTCAGAGGCACGGAAGGAGAAGCTCGTATACATAAGTGCTGTAACAGCTTTGCCATCCTCCTCTTGAGCTCAATCGGCATCCAGGATCCGGATGTTTCGGGACGGACCAAGAAGAAGTAGGGGGGAAAATGACAAGAAAAGGAAAGAAAGTAAAAAAAAAATTGCCCTATTTCATACTTCAAAGTTTGCGTCAGGAGGCGACGATCCGTTTCCTCGAGGAGGAGGGGCGGGAATCTTTTGAAACAAAGGGGCCAGGGACCGCGGGAAATCGAGAGACCCAAAGGAAAATAAAATCTCGCAATTCGGGCTGGAACTCTAGAAAGATCAGATGAGTTTAGAGTAGAACGGGGAGGGTTTGGGGATTTGTTTCGATGGGAGACCCTGGAAAAGAGAACACTTTTATCTGATGTCTCCAGGTGGCAGCATGCCTGGTCGATCGATGATGTCCTCGCTCCGCCACTTGATATCGGGAATAATCGAGCATCGCGTCTCTATTTTGTCGAATCGCAGCCGATCGCAGATGTTCAAATGCAGCTGCAAGTGACAGGAAAAGAGCTCAACTCAAGAACAGCGATGATAATACCGAGGCGTGAGTGAAGCCCATCTTGACCAAGGGTCTCTTCCACTACAATATTAATCAATACAATTAATACAACACACAACTGTGATCCCTCCAATCAGAAGGTCGTGCCTTGACGGGGGCTCCTCGGCCACTCGAGCACGGGAATGGAACCCAAGATGAAACGGGCCTTTTCTCGCCTCTTGCAACATCAATCAACCTTGGACACACTGTAGTGAACCACACTAGGACAAAGTTGAACGTGGGGAAAGACAATTGCTTGGAGAGGTTTGCCTGCTACCAATCAACTCAGGTCATTTGGGTTTCGTGCCTGACTTCGTGCATCCCATGACGTGGGTTGTGTGTGTCAAAGAAAGCTCCGCCATGCTAGGCCACGAAGCGCTTGCAATCGGTGTGAGTGCTCGACGATGGAGAATATCAGCTGGTTTGCAGCGAAGCAGGACGTGTCAAAAACGTGAAGCATCCATCGATCCAACCTCGAGATGCCCCTCTCATTCTTTGCACTGCGTTAATGTAATTCTCTCTGTCGGGGGCTATGCTGCTGCCCCTATTCACATGAATCCAAGAAGTGTCGTTAATCAAAGACTCGGAGGATGAGCATTAAAATAGAAGATCGACCTCCGATCTCCCTTTTGGTGATGGTATTCGGTACTATCGAAGGTGGCTTCTCATTCATGCGCGCAATATCCACAGGGACCAGACAAAGCCAAGGCTTGTCCCGCCATCTGAGCCATGCTGTCTCTGATGCGCTATCGGGAATACATTGAACTCTAGGCAAAATGTGTGACGCTTTATGTACTCCCAGTCTCTCTAAGAAGTTCAAACACCATGCTCTAACTAGGATTAGGGAAAACCCATTCCAGAATAGGAATTAGACTGGTGTGTAAAACACGTACTGGTTTGCACATACACTAGCGCCACACGAACGCCTGGTCAGGAGGCTGTTGGCGATCTTGAGAATCTCTTTGGAGAGCCTTGATGTCCACAGGAGCTACCCGCCCGAGAGTCGGGGCGAAAACAAGAGCCAGATGTTGCCTCGCAAATCGCCTCTCCAACCACTCCTTACCCCGGTTCCATCGGCTCCACCCCCATCTCCGAGACCCCTTCCATTTGCCATTCTTTTCCCCTTCACTCATTCACTTCGTGGTAAAGAGGCCCACCCGGCACCCTAGGAAATCTCCTAGCTCGAGTCCGTTCGCCTTTGACGGCTGAGGGCCACGCCATTCCCTGCCTCTCCTGTCCAATCGCGCACTGTACTGAATCGTGTGTGCTCTTAGCGTGCCCCTTTGTGTTTCTTAATCGCCCTGTTCCCCCTGGATCCTAGCAACATCACGAACGTCCAGTTCATCATTCCCTCGAACGCCTAGTAGGACGCATGAAGCGACCTAGTCCCTGCGCCTACTTCGTATCCTTGCTTATTTGGCTTGGTTAAATGACCACTCAGTGCTGACGTCGCCCTTCTTCCAGGCCACTACAGAAACAATGGTCTGATATCACTCGCGAGGATAGGGTAGAAACGCACCGTAGAAATCGAGGCTTTGCCCAACTGCTTGGGTTCGTGGCAGCGGGAATAATTAACCTGGATTTTCGGAGGCCCATAAGGGGCCCGCTTTATTAGCAGGGTCGAAAAAGCTAGAGTTCGGGCGGAGGAGGAGGCCGTATTAGTCCCAGCCAAGCGGGATGGCAGACCCTCTCCTCACTACCGTGCCGCCTCGGAGGGTGAGGAGGCAGGATGCGGTTGTAAGTCGATGTACCCTTCATATCGTACCCATTTCCAGAGCCATGCTGTATATATGCTTCTCCCTCTCTATCCCACCCCCAACGTACAAAGTATTCGTTTCGTTCTTCTATTTCTCCTTCCTTTCCTTTTGGACCAACCTGCCATCTTTTCCGTACTTTGCTTTCGTTGCCAGCATCTTTTGGCTCTTCCCTTCATTTGTGCTGTGCGCCTTCATTTTCCAGCCCTTCCACTTCTCCTTCGTTTCGACAACGCTCTTGGGCCAGACTTTCCTTCGACTTGAAACCATTCCGTCTTTTACTCTCGACGTTGAACGTCAACTCATCCTACGTTACACTTCTCTGCTTGGTAGCTACTAGGTGAAGGTAGCAAAAGTGAGTCTTGCCGTCGTTTTTTCACCCACTCATTCTATACATCGCATGGCCTTGGCTTTCTTCTTTGGAGGGGCTCAAGTGATACCCCCTCGAAGACTGGAGGCTGCATGAAATGAGATCGAAGTTCATGTCGGCTCCTTAGTCGGTCCGCATCACACTCTAGCCGGTCCCCCCCCCCAGTTGGCCTCCGGACCTTCCCTCTTGGGGACCTTCCGTACCATTATCCCAAGATCTCTGTACTGTTGCACTCGGCGCTGCTTCTTGCGCTATGCCACTAAGCTAGCTAGCGCGTGGGGCGCCGGTCAGATGCCGTGAAACGGCATGGGGAAGCCTTCAAGGTCATGGGCTTCATTCTGAATCGCACTGGTGATGTACTTCATCGGGACGGCCCTGATTTAGCCGTTGCTGAATGTGTGTCGTGGAGTGTGGGTGGAGCAGGACCTGATGAGCGACAGGACGGATGTAAGTTAATGGGAGTGCACTCGCGGGGCCACCTCTGGTTATCGCGGTGAAGTTGTTCAAGTGAATCAACGTCTAAGAGGAGACGACTCATTTGCGGGGTGCCTTCTCATGCCTTCCTTAACTTATACAGAGCATCGGGTCTGGAGTGCTCCTTCCGCGCTAGTCGGCGTCGTGACTGGAACTGGAGCTCCATGGAATCGAAGGAAGTCACGACCTGCTGAATCAACCTCGACTTTTCAATCCTTGATTTCGTTGTTGCATCGATTCATCTCTATTCACGCTCTCCAGCTCCATCCCCTCCTCTTACTCCATGACCCCATGAAGCAGCTCCCTCGACTATAAAACCCCCTTTCCTTTACCTCTCTTCTCCGAACATATCCCCAATACACAACCCGGTGTCGCCCTTCGCCTTGATACAGGATAAACCCTCCCGGCCGAATATCAAGCAGTCGCTTGCTTACTTTATTCATTCCTCTCCTCGTTGTCCCTATCCCTTTATAATATTTCTCGACCTATCCTTGGCCGAAAACCAAGGCGTTTCTTGAAACCAAACTAACTCGAGCGCAGCGATCAGAAGAAGCAGCACGCGCCTCTCCTTATAAAGACCCGAACTCATTACCTGCTGGTGGTAGCCACCTCTGCATCATCATGGGGTTCGCTACCCTCATTACCTTCTTCCTGGCGTTCCGCCTCTTCAGTCTTCCTGTCCTCGCCATCCCCACGCCTCAGGTTGACACGTCTCCCGCCGCCGGCACCTACTGGCTCGCTGAAATCGAGCGCAAGGGTGCTCCTGCTTTTGGGGCCGCCGGCTATCAAGTCTTCCGCAACGTCAAGGAATTCGGTGCTGCTGGCGACGGCGTTCAAGATGACACCGACTTCATCAACGCCGCCATTACTGCAGGCAACCGATGCGGCCAGGGCTGCGACTCAAGCACCGTGACACCCGCCATCGTTTACTTCCCTCCCGGCACGTACCGTGTTACGCGACCCATCATTCCGTACTACTACACTCAGCTCATTGGAGATGCCGTTAGCCGACCCATCCTGAAGGCCGATGCTGCGTTCGTCGGCATTGCCGTCATCGATGCTAACCCTTACGACAACAATGGCAACAACTGGTTCACCAACCAGAATAACTTCTTCCGTCAGGTCCGCAACTTCGTCATCGATGTCACCGCGCAGCCCCTCTCGAGCGGAACCGGTATCCACTGGCAAGTTGCCCAGGCCACGTCGCTTCAGAACATCGAGTTCAACATGCGTCAGGACACATCTGCCGCCAATGCACAGCAGGGCATCTTCATGGAGAACGGATCTGGTGGCTTCTTGACCGACCTTGTCTTCAATGGTGGAAAATTCGGTGCCTTTATCGGCAACCAGCAGTTCACCACTCGCAACCTCAAGTTCAACAACTGCAACACAGCCATCTTCATGAACTGGAACTGGGCTTGGTCTTTCCATGGCATCGAGATCAACAATTGCGGCATTGGTATTGACATGGCTAATGGAGGTGCGAGCCAGACTGTCGGTTCCGTTTTGGTTCTGGACAGCAAGTTTAGCAACACTCCCATCGGTATCAGCACCGCCTACACTCCCCAGTCACCCCAGACTAACGGTACTCTTATCCTCGAGAATGTGGACATGACCCAGAACGTCCCCGTCGCTGTCAGCAACGTCGGAACCGGTGCCACCCTTCTCGCTGGCAACGCCAATATCGCATCGTGGATACAAGGTCGTGTCTATAATGGCGCTGATGGTGGTAACGCCGTCCAGGGTGCCCAGACCGCTATCAACAAACCCGCGGCTCTCCTTGATGCCTCTGGGAAGGTCGTCACCCGTAGCAAGCCTCAGTACGAGGATGTTCCCGCCTCCCAATTCATCAGCGTCAAGAAGAACGGTGCTGTCGGCGACGGTGTTACCGATGACAGTGACGCTATCCAGACCATCTTTAACAACGCCCAGCCCGGCCAGATTGTCTACTTCGATCATGGGGCTTACATCATTACCAAGACGATCAAAGTTCCCAAGAACATCAAGATCACTGGCGAGATCTGGCCCCTCATCATGGCTGGCGGTGACTCCTTCTTCAAGGATCAAAACAACCCACAGCCCGTCTTCCAAGTTGGTGAGCCCGGTGATGTCGGCGAAGTCGAGATCACGGAGCTCATGTTCGAAACCAAGGGCCCCCAACCTGGTGCGATCCTTATGCAGTGGAATGTCAAAGGTACTACTCCCGGGGCTGCTGGTCTTTGGGACGTGCACTTCCGCGTTGGCGGGTCGGCCGGTACCGAACTCCAGTCGGATAAGTGCTCCAAGACCCCCGAGGTTACGACTCCGCCTAACCCCGAGTGCTTCGGCGCCTTTATGCTTTTCCACGTCACCAAGGAGGGTTCTGGCTACTTTGAGAATACTTGGTGGTGGGTTTCTGATCACGAGCTTGATCGCTCGGACCACACCCAGATCAACATCTATAACGGCCGCGGCGTCCTCATCGAGTCCGACAAGGGTAACTGGCTTTGGGGAACCGCTTCCGAGCACAATGTCCTCTACAACTACCAACTCACCAATGCAAAGAACGTGTACATGTCTCTCATCCAGACCGAGACGGCTTACTTCCAGGGCAACCCCGATGCCAAGGTGCCCTTCACCGTTAACCCGACCTTCGGCGACCCTGACTTCGAGGCTTTCTGCGCCAACCAGAATGGCCCCTGTGCGCGAACTTGGGGTGTTCGCATCGTCGACTCCTCCGACGTCTTCTTCTACGGCGCTGGTCTTTACAGCTTCTTCGAGAACTATACGCAAGAGTGTGTTAGCGCTAACAATTGCCAGAGCCATATGCTGTCCATCGAGAACAGCCAGGCTCACTTCTTCGCTCTTAGCACCAAGGCTTCGGTCAATATGGTGACGCTGAACGGACAGAGTGCCGCTCTCGATAGCGACAATAGGAATAATTTCTGCGCTACTATCGCAGGATTCCATTCGTCATAAATGGGGAGTTGGCGAGGGTGTGGAGGATATACATCAAGGGTGTACATACGAGACTTTGAAGCTGCCGAGGAAGAGGTAGCGGCTGTGCATACGAAGTACGAGAGCGAAGTTGGGTGAATTTGAGGCACCGGGATCGACTGCCAGAAAAGCGGGACGGCACTCCTTTTCTTCTGTATTTGTTAATTGTTGCATTCTTTCCATATCATTTTTTTTTCTTTGTTTGATTCCCCTTCTTTGAGCATCGAAGCGACTTGTCGTTTCAGTGATGTGTTCACTTCTTTGAGAGGGCCTTGGTTACTGAGGATGGCAGGAAGTCCTCGATGCATATGAGCGGCGTTGCGGATGAGGGAACAAACAAGGCCCCGGTTCTATCAAGAGGACATTGGTTTACTTCAATAAAAAATAGGAAGTAAGAATACAAGGCACTTCCAGCTGAATACCATAAATGGCTTTATGATGGGTATGTTATTTCTCCTGTTGCAGATTTGCTAGCCAGTTGTGATCATCACAGATGAATGGGGATGATGGGAGGTGGCAGCGATAGCATGCTCAGTAGGGGGTTCTATCCTGTAGTATGTACTACTTCGTACAGATGTGGTGTTGGTGTACTTCACAGCTGATGTAGTTTAAATGCCTGTTCTTTTCATCTTAGGGCCGGCTAGTTATCGGAGAAACCATGCCAAAAGAAGAAGTCCGAAATCTAACAACGTCATCGGCAGCCCATGAGCTTCCACCAGACTCTGGCATGTACGCATACAGAGTACATGCTTGAGCTTGAACAGCATTCCGCCATTTGCCTCCTTTCGGTGTGTGGCGGCGAATGGGTCCTCTCGTCCCTTGATTCTTCCTGACCCTTTGATCTTACATTTTAGACTCTTCCGTTCTATAAATTTACTCGAGAGAGACCTACCTCGACACCCTCGAAGCGACGCAAACTTCTCTTCGACCACATCTTTTTCCCCCCCGAAAAGCATCACCCGGAATGGACACACCATCATCAAACCGCTGCCGGGCCTCCCGCACCAGCTGCGTCCAACCCTCCTCAACCCCCCAATCCCGCGACTCCGAACTCGCGACACCGCGAAATCCACCATCCCTCCCAAGCCCGACAGAACGACTCCTCGTAGCCGTATTCCCCACCATCCTCATCTTCGGCGCCATCTTCTCCCTCGTATCGCCGCACACGCGCAACGCCGAATTCGACTACGTCACACAATCGCACTCGCAGACTTCCCCGCCAAGCTACTTCGCGCACAAGGGCAACGTATTCAACCGATACTTCGTCAAGCAAGGATGGGCGTGGACGACCGGCGCCTTTTTGCTCTTCGCGCTGACGCATCCTTCGTTGAGGGCCGGTTCCAAGAGGGCGCAGGCGTTGGCGCGGTTTGCGCTCGTCACACTTTGGTGGATCTTGGTTACGCAGTGGTGTTTCGGGCCGGCGCTTATTGATAGGGGGTTCAGGCTTACCGGTGGTGCGTGTCAGGCGCTGGAGGAGTTGGTGGAGGGGGATAGGGAGGCGGCTAAGTTGGAGTTTTTCACGGCCGTGACATGTAAGGCTGCCGGGGGACGTTGGGCTGGTGGTCATGATATCTCGGGACATGTGTTTCTGCTGGCGTTGGGGAGTGGGTTCTTGATGCAGGAGCTTGGGTGGGCTGTTGCGCGGTGGGCTGGGAGAGGGAGGGAGGAGAGGGCAGTGGTGATGGATGATGGGGCGGTTAAGGGGGCTGGGGTTGAGAGTGCGGCGGCGTTCGGTGAGGGGAGGGAGAGGGGAGGGGACAAGATTGGTTTTGGGGGAAAGGTTATTTTGGCGGTTGTTGGGTTGGATCTGTGGATGTTGTTGATGACGGCGATTTACTTCCATACGTGGTTCGAAAAGGTAGGATTCCCCCAATATTCCGTCTGGACTTGAGAGTGTAGTGTGGATCTTTTACTAACTTGGAGTAGTTTACTGGACTAGCCGCCGCGATTTTGGGATTGTATGGCGTCTACATCGTCCCCAGGCTTGTCCCAGCTGTACGTCGAGTCGTTGGTCTTCCGGGCATATAGAAGGAATTCAGCGGCCTTGTTTTACTTTCAGCAGCATCATGGCTCTTATTGTATGAGCCCAACTGTTAATAGTCCTTCATGTCGGATGGATGTACCACCTATAGATTTACATAGACATATGCGATCCTGAGGTTCCTAGACTAGATGTCCAGAGGAGATCCATGATGGCGGTCTCCACTGGACTGATCTCTTCTGTGCCTGTCCAGTGCACGGACCACGCTCGCCGTTTCCGCAGATGACCTCATCGAGGGGCAGATTGTAGATCGCATTAAACCTCCCCGAATTGAATTTCGACTAGCTGCCGTCTTCCCCCTTCGCGCCAGTCCCGACATATAGCTTCCCGTCACTCCTTAGCCTTGGCAAACATGGCTTCCATAAAAGCTCCCGGGAACCTCCCGCAGCTCGTCAAGTCGGCCTTCTCAAAAGCCCGCGCCAATGGCGACCTGCTCTACTTCCAGACCTATGTGACGGTCTTAGCCCCGGCCTCCATCCCAGTATGTTGCCGACTTTCACACCCTGAAGCAGCAAAGCCCAATCTCCAATGCCAGTCCCAAGCTTCAACATTTCTCTTCTAACTCCTTGGCCCATAGTTCCAGCTCCGCTTCTCCCCCGCGCTGGCGAGCAAACCCACCGCTCCCCTCCCCGTCCCAAACGCCCCCAAAAAAGTCTTCGACCCCTTCGACAACCCCGCCAAAGAACTCCTCGTCGCCGAAATCCAACCATCGCACAACCTCGTCCTCAACAAATTCGCCATCGTCCCCGAGCACTTCATCCTCGCGACCAAAGACTTCCGCGAACAGACGCATCTCCTCGAAGAGAGCGATCTAGCCGCCACGTACGCGTGCATCTCGGCCTACCATGAGTCCGTGCCCGCTGGCGAGCTGGGCAGCGAGGTGGGCGAGGGAGAGTTATTCGCGTTTTTCAACTCGGGGGAGTTTTCGGGTGCGAGCCAGCCGCATAGACATATTCAGCTCCTTCCCGTTTCGAGGATGCGGGAGGGGCTTGAGGGGGAGGAGTGGGATGTCCTTGCGAAGAGGTTAGTCGGCGAGGTGAAGGACTTGCCGTTTACGGTTTTCGCGGCGCATATAGAGCCCGGTATCGAAGGGTGGGAACTGAGAGAGAAGTATCTTGGTTTGTACAGGCGGGCGTGCGTGGCTGTCGCCGAGTGGCTAGGAAGGGAGGAGATTGCCCACGGGGCGGAGACGCAGACGAGTGGGGAGGCGAGGATTAGATATAACTTGGCCATGACGCGGCATGCGCTCATTGTGTGTCCGCGGTTGGCTGAGGGAGGCCCCGTGTGGGAGGGGGGCGAGGTCGTGGGGAAGGTGTCTTTGAATGGGACGGTGTTGGCGGGGACGGCGCTGGTGAAGAATTTGGCGGAATGGGATTCTTTGAGGCATGATCCGGACGGGTTGTTGCAAGTCTTGAAGGTTATTGGCGTGCCGAAGAGGTACGAGGAGAAGGTAATCGAAGAGACGAGAGCGGATGGGGTGCTGAAGAGTTCTATCTAGAGAAAAGAGCAGGAAGGATTCATGACTGGAGTTTGAAAAGACATAGAGCAACGGAAGGCATGCATGAAAGACAGCGTTTGAACTAGATACATTAACGACGGTGACTCGTCAGAGAAACACATATAACACACATAACACGCCTAACACACTCCTCCCTTCTCCTCCCGCAACATAGATGGCATTTTTTTTCGTACTTTCCTCAATCTTAGGCCCGGGTAGACAAGGTAATCTCATCCCACTTCTTCCGGCAAGTAGCATTCCCAAAGTGATACGACCCTCCATGGTTGACGATATACTCAGCCACCAGCTTCCATGGGATTTTAACCTTGGAAATGTCCTTTCCCTGGCTGAATCCTCTTACTGCCTTTCGGAGGAGCTTAATCTGTCAAAACCGAACACGAATGTTAGCAACTTTAATCTGTTTTGTTTTCTTCTTTTTTTTATATAAAGAGAATAAAGAGAAGAAAAATAAAGATAAAGAATTATGACTTACATCAGCTTCGGTCCACTCCGGCTTTCGCACCCGTGCCTCCTTGCTCTTCGTCAACGTCCTAAAGCGACCACGCAACGTCGACTCAGCTTCCGTAAAGCCTCCCTTGAGTCGAATCTGCCGGTAGGTCATGCCTTCGAGCTTGGATCGCACGAGAAACTCATCCCTGGCTGAACGCAGCGGGCTGGACGGACGAGGGAGGCCGCTAGCAACGTTCGCGCCCTTCTTGGACGAGGTACCACGAAGGGGTCTGCTAGAGGTGGAAGGGGAGAATTGGGCAGCTCTGCTGAGGAGTTTTCTGGGACAGCTTTCCCCCTTTTCTACCTTGACCTTGTCGTCTTTGATGGGAGTCTCGCTGGTAGAGGGATTATGCTTCTTCTTACTTCCTTCGGCCAAAATGCCATTCGAAGGCAACTGAGGTACGTCAGGGAGATCCATCATGCTTGTCGCGGGCGAAATGGCAACCGGCCGCGGTCTCGCCGGTGAGCTGGGCAGGACCCTGCGCAACTTCTCGGAACGGACTGGCTCCTCATGCTTGAATAAGAAATTGCTTGGAAGCCCGACCTCCTGGTGCGGCTGGACAGCGAAGGAAGAACTTTCAACCTTGGGCGACAGTAGCGGCGACGGGATGCGTCTGAGCGCTTTTGGGGAGATTGTGCCTACGTGCCCCTGGCCCTCTCCCCATCTTGCCTGGCGGAAGGGCGAGGTTTGGGTATACACGTCTTGCTCCCTCTTCATTGCTGCTTCCTCCTCGGCGGTAAGAGCGCGGATGGGTTCGCCGCGGAAAGGAAAGTCAGGCACGGGTACGTCGGGGAGCAAGTGGTTTGGGCCAGGCGAGAAGACTGCGTTCGCTCCGGAGTTGAGTGGAGGCAGAGGGCAATCTAAGCCATCTATGCCTAGGCCAAAGTACATAGGGTCCTGGAGAGGGGAGCAGAGAGGCGTGTTATGGAAGGGATGGTAAGCCTGTGCCCCGGGGAAGGTTTGAAGAGGAGGCGGGTGAGGGAGAGATGTGTCCATAGGCCAGAATGTGTTGAGGAGAATGGAGGAGTGATTCTCTTGGTGAGGTGGAGGGATAAATCCCGGAGTAAGAGCTGTGTTATTGGAAAAGTAGTCGGGAGCATCAGCCCTCGAAATGGGGGAGTTTAGATCTCGAGACTAAACCGATAGATATCAGCCGTCGTCCTGCTAACTCTATAGAAAGATACTTGGCGTAGAATAGAAAGAAACTACTCACCTCCACGGTAGTCTTTCCAGTGTTAGCCATCGGATGGTCTTCCAACAACATGCCGTATGACGGCTCCCGCGCAAATAATCCCGAGCCGCCCAAGTGATCGCTCCCCCTTATGCCTGCAGGGCGATGGTGGTTATCAAAGAACCACTGGGCAAGTTGGGCGTAGGGTAGATTGGGAGTAGGGGGAGGAGCCGGCACAGGAGTGGGAGAAACCGGAGTGTCAGGAAGTGTCTCCGGGTCCTTTTGGAAGTAAATAATGCCGGTTCCGGGAAGGGCGAGGTTTGGGTCAGGGTGAATAAACATCTCGGGAGAGGATTCGAGAGGAAGGAGAGAATACTCGATCTTCTGGTCTCCGCCTTTATATATATACCCAAGAGGAAAACTGCGTGTTCTTTTCCTGCTGAGGGGTCTACTTCTCTCTCGTCGCGATCTATTCTCCTTTTCTTCTCCCCCCTTCGTCGGGTCTCTATGCTTCAGATATTGGTATGAAATGAATCTTGGGGTCGGATAAGCACCTCGACCGCCTTTTACCAACTCAGCACGCTTCCGTGTCTAGCAAGGCTCCCCCCAAAGCCCCTTCTTGATAGCCAGCAAGGGGATTTTCCCTCTTCTCCTCGCCGGTGTCGAGAAGTCTAAGAGGGGAGCAGTGATGTCTTCACCGCTTCTTTGTCGAGATGTTTCTAAAACCTCTGAAGCGGAGAAGCTTCTATCGTGGGTTCTGCGCTGGTCTGGAACACACAGCTGTAAGAGACCGTGCCGGCAGGAGAATAAAAGGAGAGTCTAAGGTGGGGAGCGCCCGATAGGTCAGCATGGGAACCGGTTCACTGCTGTGGCTCGTGGCAAGTATGGGGAATGGGGAGGGGAAGGTTGGGGATGAAGAGGAGAACTTGGATAGCCCCGGTGAGGGAGAACGGCGGTCTGAACGGGTTGGGCACTAGGGAGATGCAAGGACGTGTAAGATCCCGAAGTGCGATCTTGCGGTTCTTGCCTCCCATCCTCCTTCGCGGGCGGGGATGATGGGTATTAGGGTATTATGGAGGAGAGAAGATACCTGGTTGTCAAAGAAGAGATTCTTAGGACGAGGCTGGGCTTCGATGGAAGAGAGATGCCGCGTCACGAAGTATGTACGAGGTGGTATACTAGTGATTAATGGGCGATGATACTGGCGATGAGTAGAGTGGAAAGGAAAAGGAACTAAAGTAATAAGTGCTATGACCGAGTTGGATATAGATATAACGAAATCAACAAATGAACTGAGATTGAGGAGGTCCAAGTAAATATTAAGATGGCTTCAAGTGAAAGTGATGAAACAGAGAGAACTCTGAAGTAGGTCTCTGAGTCTCTGCCACCAGTATTGTAAGCTTCCTCAAGCTTCCCAGCCCAAAGGCTTGACGGGCTTCGAGCCTTTTTGTAAGTCCTTCCTCTTGATCATGGCTTCACACTTCACACTTCACACCTCACAGACCCTCCCTGCTGAACAGACCATGCACTCAAAAGCAGTTGGTGATTAAGAAGGGAAAGTAACTCATTTCCAGAGCCGCACCGTAGCATCAAGCACCAAGCCTCTTCTTTGAGGCCGGGGGGACTCTTCCTATCTTGGGTAAGAATTCCTACTCCGGTGACGGGAGGGGATATTACGGCGTTGCTTTGCTTACCGCAAGCCCTTACGCCCCAAGTTTGCTTCCCGAGGACATGGTCAGCCATTTAAGCAAGGGGGGGAGATGTAACCGAAGGCTTCTGGTGACTTCTTGGCTACTTTTGGGTCGTGGTGTGTCGAAAGCGTGCCGAAGGTGTGTCGAAGATGCGACTATGTGATTCGAGGCTGATGGGAGAATAGACGCCGTGGAGTTTGTGGCGGCCTAGACCTTGACGATCTTTCATCTTTCTAAGAAGCGAAGCAGCTCATTTATGAAACCACACGAATCTAGTCGCGATTGTTCATTCACAGCTCCTCGCCAGCGTCTCTCCGTAAACGATGTTTACAACTTCTCCCGCGGTCCTTCTCACACCAGCAGGGCCATTCACGGAAAGGCCATTCTTTAATCTCACGCAGACCATACACGGTCCGAGACTCCCGCATACAACTCTCATGTCCGGGAAACATGTCCCTTTCTGGATAGTTTGTTTGTCAGTCATCAATCCCTCAAAGCGCAGCGTCGTTGATGGCTGATGGCTGGGTCCGGACTCACCTGTAAGCTTGGTCCAGGCAGAAACAAGCGCCGGGAAGATGCAGGAGCCGTCATTGCCGGCGAGAACCAAACATCCATTGCTCCAAGCAAGCCTGAATCCTGCGTGTTCGTAGCAAACTAGGCTGTGGTGGAACTGTACTTTTTGGAATAGCAAGACCAAGTACGCCGTCTTTGCCGTAAGAAAGCGAAGCCGGGAGAGGCCCTCGAATCCGAAGTTGTATGTTTGGATGTCGGTTTGGCCTGAAAAAGCACCAGTCAAAATTTAGCTATGGTTCCTGAGAATTGATCTTCACTTCTGTACAACAGACGAAGCGCAAGGCATGTTTGCTTCACTCGCACACACATCAGCCAACTTTGACAGCTCGGCTGCGCTGCAAACAAACCAGAAGCAGCCAGTCGCATCTATGGTAACACCGATCCTGTACTTGGCCCATATTCCCACGTCCGCGGTCCAGCCACAAAGCAATCTTCAAGCCTCATACTACCCTCCGCGACCTCACACCCCCTGCCACGTCCCCGTAGATCCTACCACACTCTTTTCGAAATGTGTGAAATGTGTGTTTTGCATCCGCGCACACTGCGACTTGTTGGAGAAAAACCGGTGCGGTACAGAATATCGAGCTCGACCACGTCTGGCCGGTTACACCACGTCTTGGGAGGTCTCTTGGGAGGTGTCTTGGGAGGTGGGGGGACACACCCGCCAATACACCAGATTCGGCAGTTCTATTGACCAGAATTTGCAATACGATCCTGTGTGGAGAGTTTGTGTAGGATTTAGGGATGGCGACGAAAATAGCCGTTTGAAGACCGGGCTCACCAGGTGAAGAAGACAGCCCGGATAGGGACCAAACCAGACCAGACCAGACCAGACCAGACCAGACCAACCGAACTATTGGATGCCACCGAAAGGGCAGCTCACGGAACCGCCGTTTGAACTTGCATAGTTCCATTTTCGCGGTTATCCGTGAACGATATTGGTTCGTTGAGCGCCCGTTCGAGCCCTGCAAGATTCTGTTGCTTTCCACGCAAGCTGCTGCGAGCCGATCAGGCAGCGACTTTCTTTGACAAAATGGGCGGTCTGCAGTTTGATGCCACCTTCTCAGCTGCAGTTGGAGGGGACGCTGGCACTCTTGCAAGAGGAGACCGTTGGGTTGGCTTCGTGAAGAGGTGGTTTTGCCCCATGCAGTGCTGATGTTTCCCTTCGCAGTTGTGTTGGCCTTCTCCTCCATGAACGGTTGGTTTGGTCCCCATGAAGGCTTTGATTTCACCCGGTGAAGAATTGGGCGTGCCTCCGTGAAGGAGCGCCCATCCAGTCTCTTCGTACTTGCGTGCGGGACTACCAGGAAGCTGATCGACGTACAGATTCTAGTCCCAGCCCGAGCGAAGGAGCGGCAGGGCCTTTCCTGGCGTTAACAACCCCTCGAGGTGTGAGACTAGGGTCCGGTTTGGAACTTCTTCTGATTATGATTAGGATGTCCCTGTGTTGGCCGTCTCGCCCACATTCCATTGGAATTCCTACCTAGACTTATCAGTCTTCTTGACACTCTCCAGATGAGGCGCGATGCTTTGCAGTATAGAGTCGACCCGAGAGGATTCGCTCCTGTATCTTTCATCGGCTTCGGGTGTAGCACTCCCGATACAATAGAAAGATGGCAGCCTTCCATGTAGATGCCATAGTCGTAAGAATACATACACCTTTTATTCATTTATTTATTTCCATATAATTTAGAAATCCGCAGCGGCCTTGACCGATGGGGCCTGAACTAGAACGACTTCTTGAGGAGCCACCCATCTCAACATGGCTCATCTGTACGTTGTCGGGTGCCCTAACTCTATCCTCCCATAGATCTACCTCTTGCGGAAGAACGACTCCAAGAGCGACGCTTTTCACTCCAGCTCTTCCACATCATTAATAGGGTTGGATAAGCCCTAAACTGCACGGCAACCCGCGCCGCAGCTACAGTAACACAGCAACCGTAGGGAAAACAACAGCCACTGCCAATCTTGATGCAAACCGACATCTGGTGTGTGCCTCGCCCACCACCCGGTTTCTCCTTGTCCCGCCGACGGTTAACGGCTCCATGAGTCGGGAAGCACGTAGCCAACAACAACCCGTCAGGATTCCCCCCCCCCACGGCCTTCTGAATAAGAACCAAACGTGGCGTTCGTATTGCCGTCGCTTGTTAGGCCGCTGTGCAATAGTGCTGCTTCGTCTGACACTCGCAATTTGGAAGCAAACCCCTCTGGAGACACACCGGAGAAGAGCGCGCATCATGTCGTGCACCATCTCGAAGTCGTTGTACCCTAGAAGCTTCGCCAATGAATAGCAATCCAAAGGTACAACGCCCTATGAAGTCCTCGAATCTTTGGCTTTTGAGGCCCCCCTCGGTCATTGACTCATTATGTAGGACACCTGGCGGTTAGAGGTCGAGTAGATTGTGTTGCTGATGAGGCAAGGGCAGGCCTGCCACTTCACGACACACACACCCTCTGCAGACCGGGTGGACCGTCCTCGAATGGAGCCACCGATTCGAGTCTCTCCACCCGTTGGCTGTTTATTCCAAGCTTCTTTACAACAATCACGCAGGCCCAGAGAGCAGAGTACAAGCCGCTCTGATGTACTTCGAGACCTGTGACACTTTCTTCATTGAGATCAAACGCGGACAGCGAGGAGGATCGCACTCCCAGGTCAGCGTTAGCAACGTAGTACATACTCAAGCCAATCTTGTCGAAAGATGTGACCGAATCTGCTCGTCCATGAGTCGCCGAGTAAAGCTCGAACTCGCTCTGGTTCGGCGCCATGGCAAATAAACTGCCACTTCTGTGAGACCCTCGTGGCACCTTGCATCAATGATGTGTGCGCTACCTGTTCTATTTCGAGAACCGAATCATTCGAGTCTGGGAATTCGGACTATGATGATTCAATAGTCAATTCCCTGGTCCTCCGTGTAAGTTCATTCATTCTCCTTCGGTGGCTTCCGCCCGGACTTAGAATCCAATGAAGCGAGAGAGCAGTGTACCTCCCATAATTTCTTGAAGATGACTTCCTTAGGAACAGTTGTTCCCTTGAACAAAATAGCACTCCTAAATGTACCCATGATAGTGGCGTATTCTGTTCCTTACACCGAGGTTCCCAATTTGATATGTTCCTGGTCAGATGAGAACAGACGAAACTTCAGGAACTCCACTCACGAAGTATGCGATTTACAAAAGAAATAAAAAGATGTCTGCTTCTCTAGTGATCATGAATTGGGCCAATCTAGTCCGCGAGGGCCAGAATCTGACAAGAGACAGCGCCTATGCAAAACGAAGCCAATGGCAAACCCGCCTCCCACCCCCTCCAAACACTATGGTCCGGGAATGACACTCAATGGGTCTGTCAATAAGATAATGATATTTCTTTCAAAGTGGTATCACAAGGCGGGAAAAGCCTGTGTCTGTTTGGGGGGGGAGGGGGGCTGTTGTCGCTACACCCAAAAAGGGGGGGGGTTGACACGCATCGTGAACTCCTCTCCGAACTCTGCGCCGAGGTTCTAAGCTTCGGTCCGATTTAATTCCGAGAATCTTCTCTCCTAGGCTCATTGATTGATCTAAGATTGAGACGTCAGTCACCAAGCCAAGAGTGACAATTCAAGGCGAGTCCGCATCGCGATGTTAAGTCCAGGAACCCTTAGCTCTCTCATCAACATCCCATCATCAACGCTGCCTTTCATGCATCATGAATATATAATGTCTGTTCCCTACCTAAAGGAAAGCCTAATCCCATCGGAAAAGCCGGGAAAAAATACCGCTAAATACAGTAGAGAATATACACAAGAAAACCTCAAAAGAGTAAAAACGCCGCCCACTCCCTAGAAACAAGCTACCCGTGGATATCTCAGATCAAATGTAATGTGAGCTCCATAATGTCAAGCAACGTCCTCTCGACAATCGTCTTATTACAAGCCGAATCTGCTTCGCATAGTCTATATCACTCAAAAGAGGTAGGCCGTAAGAAAATAAATCGAGCCTAAATCCGGAATCGAAGAGCAAAATTCGTTTAAAAGTGCTCCTTCCAGAACCTAAACTTGACATCGGGAGTGTTGACCTCCTTGCAAGCCTGATGTATACTTCGAGCTGTTGAAGACAGAGTTATTAGCATCATTCCAATACGTATAGGTTCGCGATTGACAACTTACCAGCAACCGAAGGTCCGCAAAAGTAAACACCAACAGTCGTCTGCGCACTCCCATCCAACCCACCAAGATACGTCCTCTCCACAATCCCCTCCCTCATCGCCTCAAAGATCCTCTTAAAGTTCGGCCTACCAAAATTCGTCCTCGACTTCAGCTCCGTCAACGGATCCGTATCCGCACCCACCGAATTCAACACAATGTTCTGCGCCGTGTTGATATCCAGCTTCTGCGTCAAGTACGTGTGGATCCTCAAGAACTCGTCGGGCGATCCGCCGGGGAGACGCGCGTCCTCGCTGCTCTGCCTCTCGAGCGAGGACAGCAGTGCGTGGAACCACTCGAAGGACGTCGTGTCCTTGCAGACCCAGATGAACTCGACGCGGCGGAGGCGGGTGGGAGGGTTGGGTCCATTGCGGAGGTGCCAGATGTTCTTGAGGATCGAGGCCCAGGGCGTGACGCCGATTCCGGTGCCGATGAGGACCGCGATTTCGTTCTCGAAGACGTCTTCGGCGGGCGCTCCGTAGGGGCCGTCGATGCGGAGCGCGGGCATTTCCTCGCCGTTTTGCAGGGCGACTTCGTACATGGCGTTGGGATCAATGTCGTCTTCGTAGAGCTTCGCCTGCGCAGCACCGGCACCGACAGCGTCTCCGAGCATGCGGGTAAAGTCACCGACCTGGCGAACATGGACGGACACGTAAGGGTCGTAGGGGCACGAGGTGATGGTGAAAGGGTGCCACTGGTAGCGCGAAATGGAGGGCACCTGAAGGAAGAGCCACTGGCCGGCCTTGTAGCGGAAGGAGGGCTTCTCGAACTGGATCTCGACGACGTCGTAAGGGTGGCGCACAACACGGGTGATCTTGGTATCGCGGGCGGCGCGGACCTCGCGGTAGATGCGCTCGATCAAGTAGAAGCCGCCGGCGAAGAGCTCCCATCGCCAACCCAAGTAGCCGAGGCAGTGGTCCCAAAACTCCTTACCCGCGAAGGGCGACACAGGAAGTGCAGTGTCCCGCACGAAACAGCCCGTCGCGTGGGTGTAGAGACCCAGCATGAAGGGGATGAAGAGGTGGTGGGTATACCAGAATGTCTCGAAAGACTGTTGGCGGATCTTGGCGTGGGCGGTGGTATACATGAAGAGCATGCACAGGAGCATGACGTGGCCGGTGACACCGCCGGCGTCCATGTAATGGATCTGTACAGCGAGCGCCGGGCGGAGCTGGGTCCGTTCGACATTGTAGAAGTTGACGTAGTGACCGGCGGTGTGGACGACGGTAAAGAACAGCATGGAATAGGCGACCTGGCGATGGAACCAGATGTTCTCGTCGAGGGGCAGCCACCGGATCTTAGGTCGGATCCATCGCATAATCGTTCGGCAGACGGGGAGAAGGATCAGGGTGCCATCGATAGTGAGGACGAGACCGGCGCCGCGAGAAATCCAAACCGAATGTTGCAGGAGGTTGAGAGGAGCGAGGCGCGGATCGGCGGCTTGCTTCCACCTAGATAAATGGCCTCCGTGTAAGTTGACAAATGCGCAACAAGAGATAACCCAACAATTGAACAATGGGTAGAACCCGACAGTAGGAATTAGTCGGTATCGGTCTTAGGAAACTCACCATCCAAAGGCAAAGAAGGCCCAGTGCATACCCCAAAAGAGGATGTGGAATGCAAGCTTCGAAACAGTGAACTGCTTCTTGAGCAACTGCATATAGGTGAGGTCGCCAGCCATCTTGACTGAACGAGCTCTCGGTTGCCCGAGGCGGAAATCCGCGGCGATAGATATTAAGCAAGAAAATCGGTCAGAAATCGAGATGCGGTCGTTGAATCAATTCCGATTTTGTTCGAGAGTGGAGCGCGAAAGGCGGGCGAAGGAAGTAAGTGGCGGGTTAATTGAATCGGGGGCGGGTATAATCAACTCGGTCGGCCAGCAAACTCGCGATGATGATCCACCGTTCTCAGCCCAGATCCCCTCCGATTAAGACAACAGTAACGAATAATAAAGGAAATTTGCAGAAAATGGTAAGGGAGACCCGCTGCGATGCAAGGAGAGAGAAAGGGAGAGATTTGTGGAAGAAAGAAAGAGAGACAAAATCCGACCTGCAGACTTCCAAGAAAAGGCACGACTTGAACCTGCAAGATTAAAAGAGGAAAAAAGCGGCGGGAATGGCCTTTTCCAATAATGTGCAAGGTGACGAGAATAGAAGCAATCCTCAGCAACCGAAGCGACCAGGCCCAAAAAGAAAAGAAATCGCTGGGCGGGACAAGCGGATTCGCTGTTGAGAGAGCAGGAAGGGAGACTCTGTGATGTGATAGGGGGAGGTCGGGCGCTTAAACGTTGACGCAGAAGCATCCAACCACCGCCGGACTGGATGAGCCAAGCCTCTCCCGTAGCACTTCGGAGTTGTTAGCGTCGGGTGGCTTCCTTTGAAGGGGACAGGGGACATGGGGACATGGGGACAGGGGGGTGGGTGACCCGGTGGGGAAGAGCTAGCCGTACGACGGACGAATGGTGAATTCGGGATGCAAGACGAGACGCAAGGCCAATGGACCGGATTCTTGAGAATCCTTGACCGCACTCGAGGCCGTGATGGCGTGGTTCAATAGTGCGAGGATGCACGATGATTTGAGCGATTGAGCGCAACTCAGTCTATTTCGAACCCCCCTCGAGGTCGATCCGGCGATCCAGCCACGAGAACGGTGAAGAGATAAAATACGAAGTACAATACGACAAATAGAAAGAACGGTCTAGATTCCAGGAACCGAGCAACACCCTTTGACCGCAGTCGGGAAGAACAAGCGAAGCCAAGACACCCAAACCTAGCAGCCTGGGAAGAGCGAGGGTTTCTGCGGGGCAATGCAGCAACGCAGCAAGTGCGCATTGTCTCGTCTAGCATTTCCGGGCCAGGGATGTGCTTCAGATTGCCGGGGTGGTGAGGCCTGGATCGACCCACAAAGACCAGACTCGACTGATGGGGCCTTGTCTTTTTTGTCCTGGCCGTCTTAACTTTGTCGCAGGTTTCGGGACGGCGGGACCGGGGGTTTCTTTTGAAAAAAGAAGATGCAATTATTGGCATCTTTCGCTTCGTATTGATTCCTTGCGATGTAGCACATGAGTATGGAGAAATTAAGGTTCTGTCCCTGACGGGGAGCAAGACGCCACTTGATGCATCAATTGATCTTGAAGCAACGCTGGGGAAGGAACACTGAGGAACGCTGACCAACGCTAAAGCCTCCGCCGTCAAGTGCCGTCACAAGTGGGTCAACGTGGAGCCCAAACCTCCTTCCGAGAGTGTTCGTTCTTCTTTCGGAGGGAATTCTCATTGTTATTTCTTCAAGACATGGATCCTGTTTTAGGTTTTAGTCGTTCTCGCCATGGCGCCTGTCAAAATGCAAGGTTCGACACTATTTTCGTGTTGATCGATACCCCAAGCTATCGCCCAACTCGTCAATGTTAGCGACCTCCTCGTCAGCCGTCAGTTCTGGGCATAGACTACTTCATCAGCACACAATATAAAGACTACTCGCATTCAACCCTTGCTTCCTACACGGCCTCAGCTCTTTAGAACGCCTTGTACTTCGAAAATAGCATAACAACACATCCATTTAAAAACTCTTTGGTCTCACAAAAAATTCCCCGACTCTGTTGGCCCACCACGGCTCGACCGTGTTCCAGACCACACATCTGAAACACACAGACCCTTCGCAGTACCACCTTCGACCAGGCAGACGGTCTTCTTTTCTCCTGTCTACGAGGGAAATGAAACGCTGAGGCATGGATGCTATCAAAAAACTAATATGAATTCTTCATGTCCTTTCCCTCTTCTTATAGACCGGAGGCTTAGCGTACACAATGGAGAAATGCCTCTGAACTGGGGAACTCTGTTGTCTCGGATCGACGCCAGCCCCATGATATTCCTGCCAGCAGTTGACAGCTGACAGATGACACCCTCCGCTCCCTCATCATCCCTTTGCTTCATGCGTCAATCAGCCTCCCTCACTCACTCGTCTCAGATCTACACAGCCTTGACGATACAGCAACCATCCCCTTAACCAGGTGGGTCGACGCACAGTTCATTCACCCTGCGACATCCCTGCGTCCCCTATTCATGCGAATTCTCCATCTGATGGTTTTAGTCCAGACTTCTAGCCAGTCGAAGCCGCTCTCTTCTTCAATTGCCAAGGAAGCCAAGTCTCTCATCTCCGCCTTCTCCATCGTAGTAGTATTTTTAGGAGACATCGATCCCTTTGCCAATGATAAATCTTAGAATTACTTCATCACCTTCCTCTGAGGCGGTTGATCCTATGTTTTTCTCTTGGCCTCATGAGTTGAAAACCCGCAGAACCGGGTGAACACCCGGTTACCGTTCCCGTGTCTCTGAGTTTCGCGTTCTCGCAGAGTGGGCTGATCTCCTCGTCGTTTCCCATTGCATCTGGTCGAGCCGGGGGATCCGTTAATCTCGGTTGATCCACTAGGCAGTCAGAAATCTTGGCCATGTGCGTTTCGGAAGGCTGTCAACGATAAGAGCATGAAACATGGCGTCCATCTCCCGCCTTCGATTACGTCCGTCCTAGGCTGTACGTAGAAAAATAGGGGCAAGGAAAAGAAAGAGACAACAAGAAAAGAAAAGAAAAACAAGCAGATCATGCAGTACCCGAACCGTCCCAAAGAAGCCCAATATCAAGACCAAAGAAAATAGTACAAGCACAAAATGTCATCTCATCATGCCGCCTCCTCCATGCCCTCGCGCAGAATCTCAATCTGCTTCTTAATCTCCACCCATAGGGCCAACCCCTCCAACTCCTGATGGTCAACTGTCGCAATCCCTACCCACCCATCGTCCAAGTCCTCGGTGATCGTGACGCCACTCATGCTCGCCGTGCTACGTGAGTCCTCTTCTTTGGTAGAAGAATTAACATTAGCCACGCCTGTTCCTTCCTTGTCTCCCCGAGCAATGGCCAGCAGAGCTGCCACAAAAGCCTCCTGCATGTAGGCAAAGCTAAAGTCCTCGGTAATGTCGGCAATGGCATCACAGAGAGCGTCGGGGAATTCGATTTCCTTGTTACCAGCGAGCTTGTGCTGCCAGAAGTGGCAATAGGCTACGCGCTGCTTAAAATCGGGATCGGGGAAGAAGTACTTGCGGTCAAAGCGCGAGGGTCGTTTCTAATACATGATTTTGTTAGTTGAAAAGAAAAAAAAAATAGAGGACTAACAAGGATAGAGTAGAGGTAATGATCCGTATCATGAAAAGGAATGAGACACTCACGGAGATACCCGGATCCAACCGGTCGAGGTGGTTTGTGCTGCCGACCATAAAGATACCATCGTTGCTCTTCAGGCCATCCACCTCATTCAGGAAGTAGCTTCGCACAGACGGCGTAATGAGCGTGTCGATGTCCTCGAAGACGAGGTAGCATGGTGCAAGTTGTCTAGCCTTCGCAAAGATGGATTGGATGCTGGATTCGGGGCCTCCCCACTGACAAAATAGAATCGTTAGCGAAACTTTTACCTCCTCGAGAGGGAGGTAATGGAACGGGAATAAAACTCACCGATGAGAGAGACCGGACATACAATGTGACGACGGGCTTCTTCAGCTCCCATAGCATCTTCATCGTAGCTTTGATAGAAATCGTCTTGCCATTCCCCGGCGGCCCATGATACAGCAGCCCTCTCTTCCATGGTACGCGGAGCTTCTGATACGACTCCCTCGACTCAAAGAAAGTCAAGTGATCTGAAATAATAGCATCCTTCATCTCCTTGTCCAAAATCACATTATCCCACGACGACTTCATCACACTCTCAAACAGCTCCTTACTCTTCTCCCAATTCCCCTGATCAAACACCCACACCTCCTCCTGCAACTCACTACTCCACCTCCCCGCCGCCGTAATCAACGCCTCCGCCCTCCCTTTCTCCCTCGCGAGCACATAAAAATTGCGAACGTCGGGGTACGACGTCATGCCGTCCCGCCCGTCGGCCAAATACACGATAAACTTGTCATCGCCCCATTCGTAGGCAAACTTGCCCCAGTCCACCCGCGTGATGAGGCGCCCTTCCTCGTCATCGAGTCGACGCTGCGAGGGGACGTAGATTTTCGACTTGAGTGATTCCGGGAATCGCGCTGCCTCGTTGTCGAGGAGCTCGGCGCGTGCGTGTCCCGCGGCGGCGAAGGCGAGTAGGTTGCATCCGAATTCGGGGCAGATTACGATGTGTAGGTCGGGATATTGGTAGTGCAGCGTCTCGAGGACGACGCAGGCCGTGTTGACGCGGCGGCCGCTTGCGTTGGAGAAGTAGCGCCGCGTGGTGACGTCGCTCTCCGTAGCTTCGACTGAAGCCGGTGCCTGTGACTGTGCGCTACCCGGGCGGTTACTAGGCACCGGGGGCGGCGCCTGAGTGGGGCGGAAAGGGTAAAACGGTGGCATGGCGAGTAATAGCAGGCTGGGCTAGTTATTAAAGAGAGATGTTTAGGGATGGAGATTGGGAAGGCATTCGTGCTAGACGATAAAAAAGGAATGAATGTCGATGTGGCTTGGGTGTATCAATGAGTGAGATTCGGCGGGGATGGGCATATAAAGTACGAAGCTTGAGGGAGCTCGGGTTCATGTCCCCTCCCCTCAACCAAGCCCAAGCTCAGTTGCACCTTCAGATGCAGCTGATTATTGGAAGGAATCCGACGAAAACGAAACAGGTGTCAGCACCGAGGGAACTTGGCATCCCGTATGGTCTCACTAGTTGACAGCTGACAATTAAACGACAGCTCACCCAAAAGGCACGAGTATTCCTTCGTCCATTTGCCATCACTCTCCCAACACCCCATTCATCGCCAGTATTAATGAAGATGAAGGCCTTGATCGTGAGAACCAGTTGTCATTAACATGTCGATACGACAGTTAAGTGAAGATGCTACAACTCAACACGAACCATAGACTCAGTCAAGCCGTGTATAAACCTCATGAAATGGACCGGGACTGGCTCAGTGTCGAAGTTGTTGAACTGCAATGTTTCTATTCGTGGATCTATCATGAGGAACCTAGGCTCGCCGTTCAAACCAGATCCAAACATGGGCCTTGAAACCTTCACACTCCACGGACCACAGCGGCTAAGCATAACTTTCCAGAATTAGAGTCGAATGTTTGGCACTATTTTCATTTTCTTCGTTTTAGAAAGGCGGCTAGCAAAGAGTGCATGTGCAAATCGGAGATAGGCCATCATCAACACATCTATATAAATCCACATGATGCCCGCTCCAGGACAGCAGCAGTCAACACGCTTCAAGCATCAAACAATCGCCGTTTGCAGTACCTAATATCGACTCTCTATCTTGTTTCTTTGACCGCCCCTCGCCTGAATCCCCAATAACCTTGACAAAAAAGATATCTCTGAAAAAAAAAGATGGAGGGCTATAAATGGACCAAAGAAGAGCTCGAATACCGCAAACGAGAGCAAGACTTCCGTGACCTTCGACCGAATTTCTATCCAGAAGGGAAAGTCATCCATCTGAACACCAAGGGTGGCCAGCTCAAGGTCCGAGCCGGGAAGACGATTTCAACGGGCAGACAGCTCACCGTGCTGCTCGTGCGCATCATCCATGCTCCGAAAGCACTGCGGCCCTTGTTTCCGGAAGGCGACATCGTCCTTAAACTTTTCGATCCCATGAATTCGCTCGAAAATAGGAGGATGACGAGAGACTGTACTATGCGCGAGTGTAATCTAGGCGCCGCCTGGGGTCCCGAGCCGCGGAAGGCCCTCACCGGGTACGCGCGCATGAAGGATGAGGCGGAATTGTTCGCCAACCGCAAGCGCATCGATCTAAAGTTTTACGAGACAGGCATTGTTCCCCAAAAAAAGGACTATCCAGGCCTTCGGTGGGACTCCATGAAGATTGACTTTTTTAAGCACCTGGGCAAGCTGGAGGCCAGGCATCACATTGCCATGCAGGACTTTTGGCGAGACGAGCGAGTGGCCTACAACAGACTGCCAGCCCACGACGGAACTGTTTTTCCAAAGATGTATGCCAAAGTGTCCATGAAGATCGAGCCCGCTGATGGCGGCGATATGGGGGTGGCACCGGCATATTTCTTCATTCCCGGTTGTCTGGTCGAGTACATTGATGGCCCTTCGCTTCAAGACGGACTGGAGGAAGGATTATGGAAGGATAAATGGCATAGGCTTCCACAGCTCCTTCGTAACTGGGCGGACACCCTCTGCGCCCATGATTCGGCAAACATAACCTTGCCCATGCAGGTTTGGTCACTATTGGAGGATATCAGGGTGGTAGACGATCCGGCATATCCAGAGGGACTTCGTTTTGTTCTAGTGAAACCGGCATTAGTAAAATTTCGAGATCCGAGGCAGAATGACGAGCAGTTTTTGGGACATACGCGAAGGACGTTCATGGAAAGGTTGGTCGATAATTGCATTGACGAGTTGCAACAAGCGCGAGGATTACCGGAGCTTGAAGACGGCGACCAGGGAGACTACGAACTATTCGACGTTGAGAGCGGTAGCCAAGAGCCTTTCGGAGAAGACAACAACGAAGCCGGAGGGCAATAGAGCTCCGCGCCCTTTGGAAGACGAGATAGTTAGGGCGGTGCTGAAGATTGAAGTATTGTTCGACTCGACAGGGGATATCCTGATCCTAGCACTGGGAATTGAGGCTTTTCATCTTTGGATCCCACCCCCAGCGGATAACTCCCTAGGAATGCTAGCAGCGAACGGGGTGTGAAGGAATTAGCCAACACAACTCGCTCAGCGCCGAGATTTCATGTCGTCATTGCCGTCGGAAGCTGTTGCAAGACTCGGGAGTGGAGCCAGCGAAAGACCACGGTCTACCGTCATCCGATGGCAACAAGGTGAAGTTGAAGTTGCAATCTTATGGCTCTCGAGCGGAATTTCCGACGCTCAGTCAATGATGCAAGGTCTGGTGCGCGAATCCCGCAGGCTGTCATCATACTCGTTAGCCTCACATCACTCTCAAGTCAGCCATCTGGTTGGGTTGGTCCTGTTACCTACCTCCTAGTCCTCGAAGCCCACATGTACCCCCAACACCTCACCCCGAGTTCACGTCTCTGCATCGGCTCTGGAGAGGATCCGAGGATCTTCTCCAGGTTCGTAGGCGACACCACGTACAGGTTGCAGAGTCCGATTTCATCACCTTTCAAAATTAGTACAATGCTTGCTTCAATGGGGGAATAACTAACCCTTTTGTTAAGCATATTTTAAAAAAGCATTAGCCTCCAACCCCAAAGACCACCATTGTCTAGCCTATGTATCAAGACTCTGATTGACTCGAAGAAAGGCGTTGAACGGTTAAAACTTGACGGAGCCGAACAACTGCCTCGGCAAGGAGTGAACATCGCCGTTCACTTCCCAGCCGCCTCGAGGAGGTCTAAAGTAACCCTCTTGACATAGTTTCTGACGTGCCACGCGGATGGTGGGTGAGGGACCTCTCCTGGCCTACACCAAGTGAGAGGCTCTCCGCACCATAGTTGATTGCCCGTGGACCTGCCGCTGTGGTACACCACAGCGACAAGGTACTTGCCATCAGAACCATGTAGAGTCTTGATGCAAAACCGACCTTCCGTCTCGCCTTTGCCGCACCCGTGGACGTCCGCCTAAGACGGGCCCCAGACAATTGTCAGGGGGTGCGGCCTAGGGACCTCGTCTGTGGGACGAGGTATCGGAAGGCCATTGACATAGGCTTTCAGCTTTTCCCAGTCATCTTTGCGATCGACCCGCCCGCGTTCGGGGATCGACCCGGCTAGCTCCGAGGACCTGGAGCTAGAGGACTGGGAATTGGCGGTGGTGGGGTTGCGAGGCTTTTTGCGCTGTTTGCATTGATGTCGCTTAGCCATGTTGATATCGCTTGAATTATATCGTGACGATAGTAATTAAGGATTAATAAATAGGAAATGGTCGGACGATGAAGAAAGGGGAGAAGATCTGTCTCTGAACTCTAGACGAAGACATATGAACTACAACTCAGTCCAGAAGAGTCTCAACCCTCCCTACTCTGATAACGTACTTCCCAGGAAAGAGCAAAGTGAGGTATTTCCCTCACGCCGACGTTATTGTATTAGAGTAGGAGGCACCATTGTCTTTGGTGAGATATCTTGCTTACGAAGGAAAGAGCTCTACATCAACAGTGCTTGTGTCTCCCAGATTTACCTTCTCGATATAATACTGCGAAACCGTGAAGAATATGAAGTTCCTATGGGTAGAGAAGCCACGAAGGGCGAGGAAGGGGGGCCTTAGGGAGAAATAGAAACAAAAATGAAGGCCTAAAAGCTTTGATGTAAAGCTATCGAGAAGTCTCAACACGCAACGAAGGGGACTAACTTCAAGTACTCAAACCTTTCCTTAAAACGTAAATGCTTAAGCCGATGAACATTTTTTCTCCAAGTACGTCGGTGATATGTTCCTTTACAATGAACGAAGTTGCTGAAGAACCCGAGGTTTTTGAAGGGCTTCTGAAGCGGGAAATGTCATCAATTCCATTAGGAAGATAGATTCTGCTTGCTGTGCCATCCGTTCTCGATGAGAAGATCACACGGGGTTTCATAAGACTAACTTATTTAAAGACATTCTCTAACACAGCATCTTGGGCAAGCTCTTCCATCGTCGGACAGCAGAATGGGGATCGCGGATGCTACTCCTCATCAGCCGCCAGGAGACGTCCAGGACAAGTTTAGTCAACAATCCCAAGCGGGGAGTTACCATCACCAAACGGGCTGCCCTTATGTCACTTCAGATATATAGTGGTCAAGATGTTCTAAGAGTTGTCAAGGAGGCCCCCGTATCACCACGAAGTAAAAGCTTCAAGTCTTACTAGTGAAGACAAGGACGAATTTACAAGCCACCACCGTCTGTTCTTGTCACAAGATGCCACGACCAGCTCCTTCGCGTCGCAAACCCTCAAGAGTCCTTTTCAGACATGTGGCCTGCGGGATAGACCTGGTGTTTCGGTGTAGACACTGAGGGAGTAAGGCAGCAAAAAAGGGAGGAATGGGAAATGATTCCACACGGACGCTTGCCTGGGAAGGACTCTTCTACCAACCGACCATAAAAGCAGATCTTGAGGCAGGTTCAGGCCAAACTCGTCTCTCTACAAGCTGTAAAGATGGAAATTGTTATGGGAAGTCCAGTTCTTACGACCACTACAACTCACCGCTCCAGGACTCATCATGGCAGTTCCCAACTCCACAACTGCACAGGACAGTCCTCAAGGGAAGGCGATTCCAACGTGGATATGTAGATAGAGAATGATCATAAACATTGCTTAGCATAGCCTCTAGCCATTATTACTTGTGACTGTTTTGACTAACTCCCATCAGAACAGACGGCCTAAACTCCTAGCCTCGACAATACTCCCATCACCTAGAGTCTCTATCGGAATTGAAATGAAGAGAGGCATGGAGATGGG